CTTTTTTGACTGGTGCATCAAATTTGTCTTTTATAAACAACTGTTTTCCAAATTGTATTGTATCGTCCCGAACATGCATGAACTATTTGCCACTGAACGTTAAACAACCATCAAAAACCAAGCAATTATAAATCTGTTAACTGAATCAAATTTTTAAAGTACTCTATTTCTGCATGGATGCAGCGATGACACCACCATTGTCTTAAATGATGGAGTTAAAAACTCAGTAATTCAAATGAACCACACGTGAAATTTTTCATGTTATTTTCACGTGAACTTTACAAACATTTGGAGGTATTTTTCATGATTTTAATTAAATTTAGAATAAAGATATTATTTGAATAATCTTATTATAAAAATTTACGTGAATTCAACGTGTACCAAATTCCGTTGATTTATGCATGAACTATTATCATAAGATTTACGTGGAACCAACCAGTTCAAGCAAGTTTCAAGTATATGCTCGTTTGGTGCGAAATTCAGACGAGATTAATGTTAATTCATGTGAGTGAAATTTCCATGTGCAGGACGAAATAAATTTATATCAGTAGAATTTCATATTGCATAACTAGGAAATTTACGAAACCCGACAGGGGAAATGAAAATAAAAAAACAACATTCAGATCCTGACACATATTTTGTTTTCCATATCTCTGAGTAGGAATAACGTTATATTCTGTATTCAATAACGTCATACGTTTTCGGTCAAATTCTAGGCATATCGATCAACTTTGAAGCCATTTATCTCAAAAACAAGGATGGTGACATATGAGTTTTTTTACGTGTATGGATTCAGTATGCAATCCTGGATATTATGTTAGTTTTTTGTTTTTCTCCGTATATAAGAACATATCCATCCATTGGAAAATCTAAAAAGGAAAGCCGGAAAAAAGCCATTTCTCCTATATACCTATGTAAATTTGTCGCCAAAATTGACGTATTCCTATCAAAATACCAAGAAAACAAAAATGGTGACCCCCATTTTTTATTACATATTCCGATGTAATTCGATTCAAAGAACACGTGTGTCAAAAAGTTTGGAAATTGGGAGATATGCCATTCGGTATCGTGTTACCTTAAAGGGGCATTAGCTACAATTTAGACCAAAAAATCAAAATATGATTCTTTTTGATTCAAGTATTAATATAAGCAGAATTTTGAAATAATATTTCATTATAAGCAGTCAGTTTGGCACAAATTTGTCAAAATAAGCAAAATTTGAATCAAATTGGTGAACATGAATTTGATAGCTAATTATCCTTTAACCTAATTATTATTTGTCATTTTGATAAAGTAAAAGATCTCTACTTTCAAGGCATACAGTTGAGCTAATTCTCATTCCATAGACCAAAATGAACTTGATGTTACCAGTATCCTGGACAACTTTCTTTTCAAATTTTTTATCAACTGACAAAAAGTTGTCCCTATGTCCATATGGGCTCTGATGTAAAACTACTGCGTGTTCACAAGTTAATTGAATGTTAAGTGTTTATGTCATTCATACTTTCTATGAGAATTATGAATGAATGTTTAGTCAATGCTTAGTCAAGTTAATTGAATGTTAAGTGTTTATGTCATTCATACTTTCTATGAGAATTATGAATGAATGTTTAGTCAATGCTTAGTCAAGTTAATTGAATGTTAAGTGTTTATGTCATTCATACTTTCTATGAGAATTATGAATGAATGTATAGTCAATGCTTAGTCAAGTTAATTGAATGTTAAGTGTTTATGTCATTCATACTTTCTATGAGGATTATGAATGAATGTTTAGTCAATGCTTAGTCAAGTTAATTGAATGTTAAGTGTTTATGTCATTCATACTTTCTATGAGGATTGTGAATGAATGTTTAGTCAATGCTTAGTCAAGTTAATTGAATGTTAAGTGTTTATGTCATTCATACTTTCTATGAGGATTATGAATGAATGTCTAGTCAATGCTTAGTCAAGTTAATTGAATGTTAAGTGTTTATGTCATTCATACTTTCTATGAGGATTATGAATGAATGTTTAGTCAATGCTTAGTCAAGTTAATTGAATGTTAAGTGTTTATGTCATTCATACTTTCTATGAGGATTATGAATGAATGTTTAGTCAATGCTTAGTCAAGTTAATTGAATGTTAAGTGTTTATGTTATTCATACTTTCTATGAGGATTGTGAATGAATGTATAGTCAATGCTTAGTCAAGTTAATTGAATGTTAAGTGTTTATGTCATTCATACTTTCTATGAGGATTATGGATGAATGTTTAGTCAATGCTTAGTCAAGTTAATTGAATGTTAAGTGTTTATGTCATTCATACTTTCTATGAGGATTGTGAATGAATGTTTAGTCAATGCTTAGTCAAGTTAATTGAATGTTAAGTGTTTATGTCATTCATACTTTCTATGAGGATTATGAATGATGTTTAGTCAATGCTAAGTCAAGTTAATTGAATGTTAAGTATTTATGTCATTCATACTTTCTATGAGGATTATGAATGATGTTTAGTCAATGCTTAGTCAAGTTAATTTATTGTTAAGTGTTTATGTCATTCATACTTTCCATGAATATTATGAATGAGTGTAAAGTCAATGAGCAACCTCTTTTTTCTGTCATATCAACTTTCTTTTATTAGACAATCAAAATTTCCTTATATATCATTATATGTTAGATTGTCATATGTTTTATGTCAATATTATTAGACAGTTGGTTTGCCTGGTAGATGGATGGACTGATGTTTATAGTCAAACAGATTTCTTTCAACTGATGCCTAGTTCACACGTACATTTAATTCGAATTGAATTGGAATCGAATGCGAATCGAATTTGCTAATCGCCTTCACACACTCTTCCTTTTTAATTCAAATTGGCTAATTCGCATTAACCAATTTGCATTAGAAATCCGTTTTTGTTGATACGAATTAAAAGTTAACGTCGTTCGGACAGTAAAGCAAATTTGACGCATGTTGCAATTCGAATTAGAATTAACGTTTGGACGTAAAACGATTCGAATGGGAATTAAACTAATTCGAATTAGTTAATGCGAATAAAATTCGCATTACGTGTGAACGCAGCATATATTTAGAACAACAACATGATTAAATATATTGAAATAGTACCTGCTTTTTAAAGTGGAACATACTAAATGTTATAATCCCACTAGAACAGAAAATAAACCATTTTGATATTGCTAGGGATAGAACCTCCTCACTAGACAGATGTATGAATTATTGTTAAACATTAAGTGACAAATATTGCATTCATATTTAGGACAAGAACAATTTAATAAAATATGAAAATAAACCCTGAGCTGATTTTTTAATTTCCTTGTTTATAGGCAACTTTCAATCGGAAGACCGCATCTCATCAGGATGCATTATCCTGACTCTGAGTCAACCACTCTTTGCTCTCGTCTCTCTAGTGAAAAAAAAGAAGCAATTATCAACGTAAAAGTCTTTGGTTTGACATGAAAGTGAGTCAAACTATTTGAATCCCAGTCATGTAAATTAACAGCTGCACTGAGCATTCTATTGGGGGCTTATTACCAGCCCAATCATGTCAACAAAAATATTCAGGACTAGGACATTCTAATGCCATATGAATATGAACCCTGCTTTGTACTAGACCGACACGCTGAGGTAATTGTCTGCAGGAAAACATGTTACCTAACAGGACAAATTATTCTGACTCTGATCTGACCAGTCTTTGCTCTTACTCCTTAATTCTGTGTGCTTAGGGGAGAAGCAGCAAATAACAAATTTAAAGTCTTTGGTTTGACCTGGCTAGGGTTCTAACCCATAATCACCTACACTAGAGGTAAGCACACTACCACAAGACCACTGAGGCGGTAAGGATTATATGAAGCTTGGTAAGCAAATAAAGCTGAAAAAAAGAACTCAGAAACAAGAGAAAATACATACCTAAACAATATTAGGACAAGATTTCAAATTTTCTTTATTTATATGGTTCAAATTTTTGTAGATTTTGTGGTTATTCAAACCAACCAATCAAAGACCATCAATCAACTAATAGATCTAGTCAAAGAAATTAACTGCCATTAGAATCATACTTTTTATTTGACGAGTTTGATTCATTGCCTGACAATGTAATTTAATATTGTTGATGCTTAGAACTACTCTTATGTAAAAAGTGATAATATTTTTGTTGATTCCAAAAAAAATCAAGCATGGAGACCCATTATATTTTCTAAAAGCCTAGAAATCACAAAATAAGCAAACTGTTAGTTATATATTACTGCTTTATATCTATAAAAAGTAAAATCTAACTATATAGTCCTATACAAAGCAGATATCTTATATTTCTGTAACATATTTGTATCTCAATTAGATTTTTTCCATGCCAAAAATACAAATTTCTAAGCTAAAACCTTTAATAACTTCACCTTTGCCTTAAACCAAGAAAATTGAAATCCAGGAATAAATTCTTGTCCAAGGTATACAACAAATACCTTTTCTGTATTAACATATATTAATCTTTTTTATCTGAAGCTACGAAAACCTATGTTGGAGAAAGATGAAATTTTTAAATCTAAATATTTGACGAGATTATGTAAAAAGCTACAATAAAACTTCTCAAATTATTTTGTTTGGCTGCACAAAACGTATAGCTCTAATCTTTTTTTTTTATTATGATTACATTCAGCATTTTTCTTCATTTTCATGAAAAACTCATATTTTGACGTAAATCTTAAGTAATTCATTTATATTTCTTGATCTTATGCATTCCATACGTTATGGACATACTTGAAACAGTTTCCAAAAATTTATTTTCATGGACCAAAAAACAGGCAATAAATGCCCCTACTCCTTCCCAAACTTGACCGCTTTCAAAATGTAAGACATAACTAACAATCAAATGTGATTTTCTATAAGCATATATTGATCCTCTACATAAGTTTGTTTTCTAAGTTACAATCCATGTAATTCATTTTATAAATTTAACTTAAAAACACTTCCATTAATCTCATACACAGTAAACACTGATTATTTAACTCTACCTCTTTGTGAAGAGCTTGTTTCGATTTGAATGCCACTCTTGCTAGTTCTACTTGGACCCATTTAGGTGTATCTGGTATAAAGTAGGCTACTGCAAACTTGACAGCTAATATAATATGCTGAAAAATAATTTGATTGTAATTATAGACTAAAATATCAGCTGTGAGTCACAATGCCACCTGATTTCAACACATTTAATCTTCCCAAAAGCAATCAGTGATTTCTTTTTAACCTTTTAATAAAAATCTTACAAGAAATATAGGCATGTAACATTGTTATTTTCCATATATTTCTATTTTTAAGGGGCATAACTCCTAAGAAATTGTTTTTCAGCACTTTTCCAAGACCTTGCTGATAAAAACATTTGATATTAACTTTATAAAAATCTGACAAGAAATGTAGGTATGATGGTGCTAATAATGTAATGTTCAATATAAATTACATTTCAAAGAGACATAACTACAGTAAAAATAATAGATCAGCACTTATTTTTGAACTCACCAAAGACTTTACTGATATAAACCTTTGATGTAGGCTTGAGTGCACTTACAATATAATTTTCCCTATGATTGATATTTCAAAGGGGCATAGGTCCTTTAAAAATAGTTGTCTGGAACTGATTTTTAAACTTACCAGAGACATTGCTGATATAAATCTTTTGAAAATCTGGTAAGAATTGTACACTTGAGAGCACTTACAAGACCACATGGATAGAAGCGTCACATGAGGAATTTTTTTTTTAATTTAAATTATATTCATTCACCTTTGGCACAAGTATGATAAAGGAAATAAAAATAAACATCTCAACATCTGTTTAAAAATTAGTTTTTCTACAAGTGATTTTCATTTTCATGACAGGTTCTGTAAGAACCAGGCAGATTAAAAATTATAAAAAAATGATCATAAAGAAAAACTATAACCATGATAATATCTGTTTGTAATAGTATCTTATTCTAACCAGAAAGATATACTACATTTAATACATACAAATAAAGTTTTAGTGATGATGGCATATCTTTTTTTTAAATCTCTGTTAAATTTATTCACAATGCATTTTAGATTCAAGGAAATTCAAAGATTGACATATTGTAAAATCACCTAGGTAAGTTTTTTGTAGACCATTTGTTGAAAAAATATCTTTTGCTATTTTGTGTTGTTGGGTAGTCTCAATAATGAATCCCTTATATCTATTTTCAATCATTTTCACTTTTTCTTTTACACAGCCACAGTGTGTTCTGTCTGTTAATAACTATAGCACTGTATCATCAGTGTGATTTTTCCTTATGGAATTTACAAATTGAAATTTGACTGATGTTTTAAAGTCCTTGGTATAGTACACTCCATATAAGAGTTCTGTTTCACGTGACTGGAATGTCATAGTCAAAAGATAAAAAATGTTCTGGCCTGGACAAAATTGTGTGAGAACCAGAAGAATAAAAAAATGTGTACTACTAAAACAATATGTCTCCCTTCTATGAATAAAATAAGGAACAAACATTACAAGCATTTAAGAATTTTGGTTTTTATCAGGAAACAGTTTATCACATTCTATGACATACCTCAACCAGTACAAATATAAGCACAGTATTTACTGGTGTAATATCAGTCGGCAGTAGCTTCTTGACTTCAGGATTCATCCCTATCAATGCACAGTTAGTAATTACAGCCATTACACTGATTAACTCAAAGGCTAGCTACAATTTAAAATCATATTATATTCTTTCATGGAACATAGTTATTTGTAGTTTCCTTTGCCATATGTTTTGTATAATATTTTTCTAAGTTGATTTTACCTATAATTTGCAATAATATTTGCAGTTTTATAACTGACTGACATCATTTGACTTCATATTAATTTTAATCTCAAATAAATCTACTTTGTTGTTGTTGAAAAAAAACTACAAATCAAAATGGGAGAAAGCAGTTTGACTTTATCCCATTTCAATGATAGTAATGCAAACACTTATATACCACCTTTGATAAGTGTTTAGTATGATGATAAATTTTCACTTTTGTTCTCGTAATCGGAACAACAAAATTATTTCCGTACTCCATGTATACCTTACAACAAAATTATTTTTATTTACCTGTGTACGTTATTTTATTTGGCGGCATTTTTTGCAAGGTTATGGTTGTCTTTCTGATATTGTTTTATATCTAACCCCCTTGTTTTATTAATTTTGTATTTACATTGTGTCATAGATCAAATTTATTCGTTCAGTGTATAGGAAGTACACCACTAATTCATGGCCCCATTGCTTTCTATGCTAAATTCCTCAATTTCAAGCAGACACAGCTCTTTTGTTTCAAGTTCAAATAAAGTGACAATCATTGCATGTCAAAGCAACACTTTATGGTGTCTTGTACTGGAAAAATCAACATACCTTTAATGGCATATAAGAAAGAACTGGTTCCCGGAACTTGGGATGTACCAAAACAGGTACTTCAGATCTGACATACAGGCAAAAAGTACCCTCTTTATAAAATTTGGTGCAGTATTTTTAATATTCAAAATTATAAGTTAAAAAGTGTTCTACAATGATCACCAGTCATTCAGCTTTCATTTGATACCAACAATACCTAAATATTCTACATATTTTGAAAGTTACACTCATGCGTAGGAACTATTTTGTGTTAAATATGTACTACTTTCTGGTATGTGCTTTCTGGCCGGGCCGAATTAGTGGTGTTACACCTATAGATATAAGAAGATGTGGTATAAGTGCCAATGAGACAACCCTCCATCCAAGTCAAAATTTATAAAAGTAAACCATTATAGGTATGTATATAGTATGTTCACTTGTTTTTGGCAATATGTCTTTTGATTGAGTTAAGCCATTTCAATTGATATTTTATAGTGTGTCTTTCTATGTTGTGATGTTACACTATTGTTTCAGGTAGGGTGAAGGTTGGCGCCTATTAAAACGTATAAACCCGCTGCATTTGTTTGCACCTGTCCTAAGTCAGGAACCTGATGTTCAGTGGTTGTCGTTTGTTGATGACTTGATGTGGTTCATAAGTGTTTCTTGTTTCTCGTTTTTTATATAGATTAGACCGTTGGTTTTCCTGTTTAAATGGTATTACACTAGTCATTTTTGGGGCCCTTTATAGCTTGCAGTTCGGTGTGAGCCTAGGCTCTGTGTTGAAGGCCGTTCTTTGACCTATAATGGTTTACCTTTACAAATTGTGACTTGGATGGAGAGTTGTCTCATTGGCACTCATACCACATCTTCTTATATCTACTTAATATTAACATGGCCTAATGATACATTCGATAAACTTTAAAGTTACAGAACAAGGCACTATTTAAAAAAAATATCATAATACCACATAGTTGTGACTTTTTTATACAAAGCAATGAACTTTTATCGTCCCTGAATTTTCAATAAATGTTATGTAAAACAAAATGTGATTTTTTTTTTATTAAAGTGATGAGTGTGACAGGATAAACATCACATTAATCACAGCATGCAATTTATTTTTTTACTAGTACACAATATGTACAAGAAAAGTAATAATCTATCTTGCAGTATTGCCATTTGTCAGGAATTCACAATAATTAATGCACTTATCTAACTTTGATTTTAAAGCATGTAGATCAATGCAGTTAAATCATTGTTCCTCCATATTTTCCACTTTCTTTGGTACATTTATCTAAAGCACATGTCCCATCTTTTATAAAAAAAAAAACATGATTGATTCATTTTTTTAACAAGCATTGATTCCCATACAAACTTGATATTATACATTACCTGCCAAGCACCAATATTGGAGGCTGTTTCAGCAAATGGTCTTCTAAAGACTTTACACATTTTAAATGCATCAGATCTAATTTCTGTGACATTGTTTAACAATGCCCATACAGCAGCCAATGGGAATGCAGAAGAGAACAAGAAGACATATCCAAATTGTAGGAACATCTCCAAGTAGTCATCCAGTGTGCCCTGAAATTAAAGCCACATAGTTATATCTCAAGATAATATAGTAGTAGGAAGAAAGAGAAACAAAAAGGAAAGGAATACCACAAAAGAGTAGGACCAAAGGGCCTAAATTTTCCATTGAAATTGAACTTTGTAATATCCTATACAGAACCCTACAATTATGATCTTAAATCTGCATATTTAGATAAAATAGACCTATTTTCTGTCTGCTGTTCATTTTAACTATTTTGGCAGCATCAAAAGTATGGTATATTACAGGATTTTAGCCTGCATTTGTAAGATTTGTTTACTTCTGACAAACATTGGCCCACTCGTCCACCAAAATAAATTTGTTATACAAAGATGTATATGGATCAGATACACATCCTAACAAAAAAATCATTGTGGTCCATGAATGTGGCCAATGTTGTTTGAAACAAAAACTATTAAATTTTTCTTCATACAAGTGCATAATTATGATGTCATTCGCTCTCAATTCTTTAATTTCAAAATCTTTGAGATCTGGTAAAAGGTTTTATTGTTGTTTCAAAGACTATAAAAAGGCTTTTGACAGTGTCACACATATGAAATTATGGTTACGACTTATTAGATTAGGTGTAGCTGGTAAATTATTAAATGTATTAAAATCTATGTATTCAAAACTTAAATGTTGTGTAAAATTTGATGGTAGTTTCTCAAATTTCTTTAATAGTAATGTTGGATTAATGCAGGGGGAATCATTATCCCAATTTTTTTTTCATTGTACGTAAATGACATGGAAATAGAATTTATTAGTCAAGGATGTCAACCTTATGAGTTAAAAATGTTGAAGTTGTATTTACTTATGTATGCAGATGACACAGTATTGTTCAGTGAAAATATTGAAGATTTACAAAAGATGATTAATTGTTTAAATGACTATTCTAATAAGTACAACTTATTTATCAATTGTTTAAAAACAAAAATTGTCAGGTCAAGTAAAAGCAAATGAGAGATGGTATTTAAATGGAAATTCAATAGATATGTGTGATGAATTTGTATATCTGGGTATTTTATTTAGTTAAATGGTAATTTTACATTTATCCAAAAATCATTAGCAAACCAAGGTCGAAAAGCAATATTTAGTTTGTATAGTAAATTGCAGGATGACTGTTTTAATTTTGAAACTATGCTGTCATTGTTTGACACGTATGTAGCAAGTATTTTGAATTACAGTTGTGAAGTTTTGGGAAATCACAAATGTGGTGATATCCAACAAGTTCAAATGAAATTCTTAAAACGTATTTTAAAGGTGAAAGCAACTACTGTTAATTATATGGTTTATTGTGGGTTGGGACGATACCCTATGGTTATAGAAAGATATTGTCGCATGTTAAAATACTGGTTTAAGTTAATATGTACTGATAACTGTATTCTTAAATGCTGTTATGAAGAAATGCTTGAGAGATGTATTAAAAATCCAAATGACAAATATAACTGGGCCTGTCGAATAAGAGACATATTATACATGTATGGGTTCCATGATGTATGGTTACATCAGGGTGTTAAAAAATGTGGATTTGTTTTCAATTGAATTTAAAGATAGAGTAAAGGGTAGTTTTCATAGTGAAATGAACTCATTTTTTGAAGATTTGCCAAAAGGTATGTTGAATAGATATGTATTTAACCCAAACATGTTATAATTTTATTTAGATCATGCTGTAAATTATATTTATAAACCATTTATTTGTAAATACCACATATCTGCTCATTGTTTGAATATAGAAACTGGTAGATTTTATAATATTGAGAGACATCTGAGACTTTGTAATATGTGTGATAAACATGTAATTGAAGATTAATATCATTTTATTTTAGTATGTGAAAAGTATAATGAACTTTGAAAGAAATTTATTAAACCATATTATTGGAGAAAACCTTTGAATTTTAAACTCGTACAACTGCTATCTGTTCATAATGTAAAGGAACTTAACAATTTAGGGAAGTATTTAATCCTGGCGGAGAAGGCACATAATTAAATTCATTTATAAATGCTTAATATGTGTTATATTTTATCATACTCTGCTATACTATTATATGGGTATACTTACTTATATGATTATTTGACTGATTGTTTAAATGTATTATATATATTTCACTGATGTAATAAATATTTGTAATATTTATATTCTATAAGTTGTATTGCTTATGAATAAAGATTATTATTATAAGTGTTCAAATGCCTCAGAACTTGTTGAATTTGTATTTGTCAGTAATTTTTTAATATATTTTATCATCAGATGTTTACTATTATTACTGAATTTAAATTTCACAAAATAAAAGTACCAATATTGAACCTTCTCCTTTAACATAGGTGAATTATAATGTTCATTGTTATACCCTTCTATGATGGAAATAAATTAGCTGCCTGTATTAAGTTATATATGAGGGAGTTTTGGTGTCCTTTAAATTTTTGGTTTATTGATTGATTGTTGGTGTTTAATGCTACTTTCAGCACCCTTGGCTACATCAGGGAGACTATTTTTTATTGATTGAAGAAGCTGTAGTACCCAGAAAGAACCACTGATTTTCAGCAGGAAAACTGGCAAATCTAGTCAATTATGAGGGTTCAAATTCACAAAATAGTGATCACTGAAGATGCTCTACTTACACTACAATATCACTGTAGAAATATTTGGTGTTGGTTGATTGCAAGTCTTTGCTAGTCTCTGTAATAAGGTCTTTCCACCTTCTCTGTGAAAAGACCTTCTGTTTTTGTTCTGATTATTATTTTTGTTTATACTTTTCTACCACCAAATTTGTTTCTTCCATGAAATTTTTGTTTCCCCAAACATGTCATGTGATAAAATATCTGTTAAATAATTTTATAGCAGTTTATAAGCTTTTAAAATTGACCCTGCTAAACCACACAATTTCTTAGAAAGAGTTATTTCCCCTTATATAAATAACTAATGGCCTGATTTATGTACAAAATAATAAGCGAAAAACAAATATGATATACAGCAACAAATGACAACCACTGAATTACAGGCTTCTGACTTGGAACAGGCACATACAGAATGTGGCGGGGTCAAACATATAAGCTAGCACTGATCCCTCCCTCTAACAGAGGACAGTAGTGCAACAGCAAACTGTACAAATAATAAACCAAAAATAAATATGATAGACAGCAACAAACGACAATCACTGAATTACAGGCTCATACCTTTGGACAGGCACATAAAGAATGTGGCAGGGTTAAACATGTTTGCAGGCACTCAACTCTCCCCTTACCTTGGACAGTGGTGTAACAGCACAACATAAGAACAAACTTTAACTAGAGGCTCTAAAGATCCTGTGTCGATCACCTGCATCTTCAACAATAGCCATTTTTTAGTAAAAAATTTAAATCATCATGAAAAGACAATAACTCTATAAAGAGTTAACAGACAATTTCAGTCATGTTGACATGTTTGTAGATCTTCTCCTGCTGATCATTTTTGCTTTTTAAAGTTTCTATCTACATTTGTATGTATTACACTTTTCAAGATAATAGGCAAAAACTCCAAAAAATGGTAAAAACATCTTTAAAGGGAAATAACTCCAATAACCAGTTGACTAAAGATTTCAGCCATGATGGCTTATTTCTAGAAACCATATACAGTCAAAACTGCCTTAAAAGTCACCTCATTTCAGCAGTCACCTGCCTCTAACGGTCCCTTTCAGACCCTCCCAAATGTTTTCTCTACATAATTTTACTGTTTTTAGTGGTCATTTAAATCTCCTCACTCGCAGCGACCAAGCATAATATAATGCTTCGCTGAGCGCAGCCTGATACGACCGCAGCGGTCCAACCTTGAACAGTTGGGGCAAATTTGGACACAATATTCAAGCTTGATACTGTCTGAATTTGGATTGTTATCAAATTTTTGACATAATATAGGTTTCTGACACAAAATAAATGTGGTCAAAGATCTTATAAATCCATTGCGCATACTGTGCAATTGAAGATTTTTACTTGTAACTTTTCAAATATTCGAAATTTTAAAAATTTTGAAAAAAAAATATGAATCCCTTAAAAAAATTGGGAAAAAAATCCCCCCCTCCCCAACTTTTTGAAACCCCCCTTGAAGCAATAACCCCAAAACTCAATCCCAGCCTTTCCTTTGTAGTATGGAGCCTTGTAGTACAATTTCAGAGAGTTCCATACACTTACACACAAATTATTGTCAGGAAACTAGAAAGATGCTTGTTTTTGGCCCTTTTTTGGCCCTTAATTCCTACATGTTTGGGGCAATTAACCCTAAACTCAATCCCAGCCTTCCCTTTGTTATATGGAACCTTGTGGTACAATGTCAGAGAGATCCATACACTTACACACAAGTTATTGTCTGGAAACTAGAAAAATGCTTGTTTTTGGCCCCTTTTTGGCTCTTAATTCCTAAACTGTTGGCCCCATAACCCCTAAAATGAATCCCAACCTTCTAATTGTGGTATTAAACATTGTGGTACAATTTCAGAGCAATCGAAATTCTTATACACAAGTTATTATCCTGAAACTAGAAAAATGCTTGTTTTGGGCCCCTAATTCCTGAACGGTTGGGACCATCATCCCCAAAATCAATCCCAACCTTCCTTTATGGAATTGAACCTTCTTAAAAAATTTCATAGAGATCTATTCACTTAAACTAAAGTTATTGTCCAGAAACCAATGTGTCTTCGGACGACGACGCAGACGACGCCAACATCATACCATTATACGATCCCAAAAAATTTTTTGCAGTCGTATAAAAAATATTGTTTGCGGTCGTATAAAAAAATGAGCGAGTGTGGAGATTTAATTTTAATAAGATTGCTTTCACAGTGGAGTATTAACTGTTTAAAGGACTTATTGGATAAGTTTTTGCTCAGATAAAACACTGGTGAAATTTCTTAGGAGTAATATTTGTAAGTATTATATCAACAGTTAAGTTTAAACAGGTAACCAGTGTACCAAGGATTTGAGATGGACTCACAATTTTTGTCATACCTACCTCATATTCATCCATTGTAGTTTCTAGATTGACCTGTTTCTGTAATCCATCGTCGACTTCATTGTTGTAATATTCAACTTTCTCTACTGTAGATGTTTTCTTTAATAGTTCATCTACCTGTCTCTTCCTACGGCGCATGAAAATAAATGGAACCATGGCTTCTTTGATCTGACCAATCACTTGCTGTGTTATCAAAAGTGCTGCTAAATGCTACAACGTAAAAAAACAAATCTCATAAATATCCATTAAAAATTTATCATCCTTGAAGGGGGAAGTACTATTTGATTATGACAAATATTAAATATCACACAACAATAAAAACCTAATGAATCTTTAGCTTTCAGCAGTTATTCAGATTCCATGAAAATATTTATGTTCATGTTTAGCAATTAAAATAATCTGGAAACATTTGATTTTTTTCTTGGTGTCTGTCTTTGTCTCATCACCAATCAATTGTAAGATTGTTTGTTTTGTTGATTGAGCACAAAAATAATAACCTCCTTAGGTCCACCTACATCTCCGTATAAATAATTAGTTACTATATGAGCAGACTTCAATCCCTATGGATACACTGATGCTCAATGCACAACTGAAATATTGTGTATACTGTAATACACATTTACTAATCCTCAAAGACTTTTCTTTTCATAATAGCATTCAGATAAAGAACAACATGCATATTGAAATATCAATTCATTTATTTGAACTTGAAAACTGAAAAAAGATTATGATCATTAAATCTCTACATGACTGTTCAAGAAGAACTTATAAACTTTAGTACTGACGTTTTAGTCAAATCTATAAATACAATACTTACACTCCTGAGAAGAGTCATATCTTGTAGGTAGAATGCCACATAGAACAAACTTATAAAACAGTTTACAAAGTCAAACTGTAAATAAAAACAAACAATACTTATCACATGTTCATTCCATATATATCACATGTTTCCTCATACCTCCTTTAACACTTTGACTGTTAACTAAGTGTTTGCCATTACAATGACACCTGCAGAAGAATGGCAACCAGATTCCTGGAGCACTTTTCAGTGAACATACCAGTTTGTAAAGAAGTTGTTTATGGATACTAGTGAAATCAATAAGAAAGGGACTTGTAGCAAGTTTAAGAAACATAAACACTCTTTATCATATAAGATTATAATATGGAACAGACCTCAAGAGTCCTTTCTTCATTAATATATGTTGCTTGGTTGCTGTCTCAGTGTTGTTGACCCCATCTCCTTTTACTCATATTTAATATACATTTACACAATGTACATATCATATTAAACAAATATTAAAAATTTACATAAAATCAAACATCCTACGGGATAAGTTGATTATTGGCATAACTACATACATAAATGTAGAAAGGGGGTTTAGTAATATTTTTTAGAACAAAATTGCTGATATATGGTAAAATAGAATTGAAGATGTTGTTTATATTGAACATACCAGAATAAGTTTGATGATGAAATGGTTATCATAAGACGACTGTAATCTGTGGTTTTCTGTAAATAAATAAAGAAAACAACCTATATTGGTAAAAAAATCTCCATTGAAAAATTTAGAAATTATTAACTAAGATTCCAACTCCCTCAGGCAAAGTTGACTATAGAAGAATTTGGCTACACCTTTTCTTCTTCTTAGTCATACAGCTGCTTACTTATTCAGGTATTTATGTTTGGCTTTCTTATTTAGTTTGATTGTTCCTGATGAATGTTAATCCAGAAAAGTACTTCAGAGTCCAGACCTACCAAAGGAGTAAGAGCCAATTAACCCCAATGAACCGCCCATTTAAGGTGTTTTTTTTTTAACTTTTATTATCAAAGTAAATCTTATGTGTATGTATTGCTAAATGTATGATATTTGAAAGTATAATAAGAAAAAATAGTTATTTGTTTCATATTTATAATTAATTTAAAATAGGAAAATTCATTTTCATCAATTTTCCTATAAATTTTTTACTTTTTCCACCTTTTTTCATGATTTTATATGTGGCATTACCCATCACCCATTGAAATTTTTGTTGAAAAGTGAAGAATATGGTACATAGAGAATATTGTTAGTTTTTCATAAAACTGTCATAGTTTTGCAGAATTTTACCAAAAATCAGGATTTTACAAAATTCACCTACATTATGACGTCACAAATATGTCACTAATAATGCAATTGGTGAAAATCTAGCTGCAAAACTATTTTCATCAAATTTTCACCACATTTTTGCTGTGAAAAAAATTCAGATTTTTGGGGCCAAAATTATGAGTTAGTTAACCAACTCCTTTATAAAGTGTTATTTTCAATTTTGTAAATAAAACCTGTCTGAATCTAAATGCCTTCAGGACTAAGATTTGTCTGGATCAGACATTTGCTCTTTTTCAAAAATTTTCGTAACAGAATGAAATGACTCATTGTTTGCCCTAATATAAAAATTTTGTTTTAAATAGGATTCCAAATTTGCACTGGGTCCTGCTTGTAGAAGTTTCACTGCATATAGTCAATTTATATTCATCCTTAATGTTGACAGGTGACTATGATTATCCTTCCAACATTAATGTAAGAGCGAAATAACTTTTTTGTTGAAGACAGTATTTGAATGTCATATGAATATATATGAATCTTGTTTTGTTCTAGACTGACATGTGGAGTCTTTCTCACAAGGTACAAATGTATCTTACTACTGCAGGAAGACATGTTATCCTACCTGCACAAATTATTCTGATCCTTGTTTTTTTTTTTAATTCACTTACTTTTATCTTTAGATAATCTTGTATTTTTTATGACTCACCCCAATCATTCAGTTTCTTAGCAACACTTCTATAAATAGTGTTAACAACTCCAATGATAACTGCGTAGATTGCTGTTGGGAGATATAAGACACCCATGTTAAACCAAGATTTGTCTTTTTCATATTTCTTATCTGCTAATGCTTGCAAATAGAAATATCCCAACATCACATAAAATGCAACGACTAGCCAAAAGGCAACTACTGGTACGGTCACACCATAGAATCTGGCAACACGTTTCCATTTGGGATAAACTGGCTCTGGTTTGCCTGTGACAACATTTCTACCAATTGTTCCATAAAAGTTTGCCCGTGGCTCTTCAAATTTTGATGAGACAATATCAGTAGTTCCCCATCTAAAAGACAATTCTGCATTGTATCGTTTCCATGCCTCCAGAAACAATGTTGCCCATATCAAATTGAACACGGAAAAGATGGCTTCTCTGTACATGCTCTCCCATGATGTTACAAAATAAATAATGCCAATCATAGCAGGAGGAAGCAAAGCTATTGTATAAAATCCCAAGAATGCAAAATATAGAGCTATCTTATCTCCAAAGTAATGATGAATTCCATCTGAAAACAAAAACCAACATATCTTCATTACAAAAAAAAAAAAAAAACATGTTGTGGAGCAATTCAGCAAGATGTTCATAATAAATTGATATAGTGAGGAATTCATATACACTGAATCAAAAATACTTCATGTCTGAAGCTGGTTTACATTGAAATCATGGTTACCATGACAGAACATCCCATACATGTATTAGAACTATGTAAATGAAATGCTTCGCTGGGCGCAGCTTGATACGACCGCAGAGGTCGAACCCTGAACAGTTGGGGCAAGTATGGACACAACATTTAAGCTTGATACACACTGAATTTGGATTGTGATTAAATATTTGACACAACATAGGTTTCTGACACAGAATGAATGTGGTCTAAGAACTTATAAATTTTCAATTTACCTATTCAAACCATATCATTATTATTTGCTTTAATATATAAATCAGAAATAACCAATTTAAAATGGAAAATTTTAAAGAAAAAAAAAAATCCCTCCCCCCAAATTTTTTGAACCCCCTTATGATTCATTACCCCAAAATTCAATCCCAGCCTTCCCTTTGTGGTATGGTACCTTGCAGTACAATTTCAGAGAGATCCATACACTTGAACACAAGTTATTGTCTGGAAACTAGAAAAATGCTTGTTTTTTGGCCCCAAATTCCTAAACATTTAGTGCTATTACCCCCAAACTTAAACCCAGCTTTCCCTTTCTGATATAGAACCTTGTAGTACAATTTCATAAAGATCCATACACTTACACAAAAGTTATTGTCCTGGAACTAGAAAAATGCTTGTTTTTTGCCCCTCTTTGGCCTCTAATTCCTAAAATTTTGAGGCAATTACCCCCAAAATCAATCCCAGCCTTTCCTTTGTGGTATGGTACCTTGCAGTACAATTTCAGAGAGATCCATACACTTGAACACAAGTTATTGTCTGGAAACTAGAATAAAATGCTTCGCTGGGCGCAGCTTGATACGACCGCAGAGGTCGAACCCTGAACAGTTGGGGCAAGTATGGACACAACATTCAAGCTTGATACAGCTCTGAATTTGGATATGATTAAATATTTGACACAGCATAGGTTTCTGACACAGAAAGAATGTGGTCTAACAATTTTTGTTGAAATCAAACAAAGTTAAATTAACACCTATGTTGTGTCAAATATTTAATCACAATCCAAATTCAGTGTGTATCAAGCTTAAATGTTGTGTCCATACTTGCCCCAACTGTTCAGGGTTCGACCTCTGCGGTCGTATCGAGCTGCGCCCAGCGAAGCATTTTATTTACATAGTTCTAATACATGTTTAGATTCAGCATATCAAAGAACCCCAAGAATTCAATTTTTGTTAAAATCAAACTAAGTTTAATTTTGGACCCTTTTGACCTCAATATGAACCAATGTAAAAAACGGGACCCAAAATTAAAAATCTAAATACACGGTTAGATTTGGAATATCAAAGAACCCCAATAATTCAATTTTTGATGAAATCAAACAAAGTTTAATTTTGGACCCTTTTGACCTCAATATGAACCAATTTGATAGCGGGGCCCACAAATAAAAAATCTAAATACATGGTTAGATTCAGCATATCAAAGAACCCCATATATTCAATTTTTGTTGAAATCAAAAAAAGTTTAATTTTGGACCCCAACTTGGACCAACTTGAAAACTGGGCCCATAATCAAAAATCTAAACACATGTTTAGATTCAGCATATCAAAGAACCCCAAGAATTCAATTTTTGTTAAAATCAAACTAAGTTTAATTTTGGACCCTTTGGACCTTAATGTAGACCAATTTAAAAAACAGGACCCAAAATTAAAAATCTAAAAACACGGTTAGATTTGGCATATCAAAGAACCCCAATAATTCAATTTTTGATGAAATCAAACAAAGTTTGATTTTGGACCCTTTTGACCTCAATATGAACCAATTTGATAGCGGGGCCCACAAATAAAAAATCTAAATACATGGTTAGATTCAGCATATCAATGAACCCCATATATTCAATTTTTGTTGAAATCATACAAAGTTTAATTTTGGACCCCAATTTGGACCAACTTGAAAACTGGGCCAAAAATCTAAAATCTAAATACATGTTTAGATTCAGCATATCAAAGAACCCCACATATTCAATTTTTGTTGAAATCAAACAAAGTTTAATTTTGGACCCCAACTTGGACCAACTTCAAAACTGGGCACATAATCAAAAATCTAAACACATGTTTAGATTCAGCATATCAAAGAACCCAAAGAATTCAATTTTTGTTAAAATCAAACTAAGTTTAATTTTGGACCCTTTGGACCTTAATGTAGACCAATTTAAAAAACAGGACCCAAAATTAAAAATCTAAATACACGGTTAGATTTGGCATATCAAAGAACCCCAATAATTCAATTTTTGATGAAATCAAACGAACTTTAATTTTGGACCCTTTTGACCTCAATATGAACCAATTTGATAGAGGGGTCCACAAATAAAAAATCTAAATACATGGTTAGATTCAGCATATCAAAGAACCCCATATATTCAATTTTTGTTGAAATCAAACAAAGTTTAATTTTGGACCCCAATTTGGACCAACTTGAAAACTGGACCAAAAATCAAAAATCTAAATACATGTTTAGATTCAGCATATCAAAGAACCCCATATATTCAATTTTTGTTAAAATCAAACAAAGTTTAATTTTGGACCCTTTGGACCTTAATGTAGACCAATTTGAAAACTGGACCCAAAATTAAAAATCTAAATACACGCTTAGTTTCGGCATAACAAATAAATAAATGTGGTCAAAGATTTTACAAATCTAATGCGCTATACTGTGCAATTAAAGATTACTTCAACATTTGAAATTTGAAAAAAAAAAAATATTTGAAGAATAATTCTGTTAATTTCTGAAATCTGAAATGAGAAAAAATTGACCCCCCACAATTTCCCCGTATTGGTATGACGTTGGCATCGTCGTCCGGCGTCGTCCGAACTGTTAATTCAGAATTATGAAGAGAATTTATTAATGTAAAATCTTCAACAATTGACAATAATGTGAGGTTATTTATTTCTCTAAATGTGTAGTATATTCCTATCAAAAATCTAATACAAATTTTAAATATTGCAAACTTTATCCATTCACATACTGTAAATTCAGAAATTGTTGAGAATCTTTTTATTAATGCACAAAATGTGACAGTATCGAATTGGCAATAATAAAAACTTGCATACATAATTTCAGTAGTGATTTTCTTCATAAAATTTTTGCAATTGCATTAATTAGATCACATTTTTGCGAGTGGTTAAATATTTGCAATAATAAATGCACGCATAATTTCTGAATTTACAGTGATGTTGCACCTACTTGTAGTATTACAAGATATTGTTATGTCATATGTATAATAATAAGTACTTAATTTAAATATTTTTAACAAATGGAACCTTAAAGATTGTTGTTTAAAAAGGATAAAACCAGATCTAAAATATCACTTTCAAAAGGGATGCATCTCCACCAATTCAACATTCATTGTTTGCTTTTATCTTTGAAGAATATTTAGGTTTTTGCCATTGAGTTTGATTGTTTTTCCCTAATCACCTAGCAGTTATAAACATTTGTTATTTCTTTTTGTTTCAGACACAGAGGCACTTAAAATTGTAATGTACAAAATGCAACTTTTGTAGGATGCAGATTTGTTTTTATTTAAACAACAATGTGCAATAAAAAAAATTGTGTCACAAGTAAAGTTAGAGTGTAGGTCAAGTAACCATTTCTTCTTTAATTTAGATATGGAGATCAACTCACCTATTGGTTGTTGCTTAAAAGCATGCTTCATCTGATACCATTCAGCTCCTAACTTCTTCAAATATTCATCATCATGAATAGGAAAAATTGTTGTCACTATATTTCTACTTTGGTACTTTTTAACTAAAATAATATTACAATTAAGCAATTGAAAAAAAACTTATTGGAGACTATACCAAGAAAAATAAATTCTCATGAAAGTTATACTGAGTGTTAGGAAAAATGAAAGTGAAAAAAGTAACTAATTTATGTGCTAAAAGTGAGAGGTCTCTTGTTAGTTATTGATAACTGTATGCTTTCCTCTAAATGTGTTTTTTTCACCAGTTGTTGTGTTGCTGTCTCAATGACATAAATTATTTTGATTCTTTTTGGAAAAAGATGATATTACCTGATTTTTATTTAATTTGAAATATTTTGTCAAATTTTTTTTTAAATTTTTGTGAAAACACTTGTAACATTATCTGTCAGTCATGTTCAAGTTTTATTGATTTCCCCTATGAGAGCAAGACCCAGTTGTTCATCTCTAGGTTAAGATTTAAACCAAGGGTTTAATATTGTAACCCTTTGTTAAAATTTAACCTAGTAAAATAATTCCTTCATGTCATGCTCTTTGCTCATTTTAACATGGGTAGGTATTATATTTGTATATTTGTCGATATTTTACAGGGAAAATATTTGATTCCAGTAAATAGTCTTTTTAAGGGAAACTTTATGGCTTCCGGTAAATAGTTTTTGAAACTATGAATCGGTTAATAGTCTTTTTACAGGAAAATGTTTGCTTCCAGTAAATAGTTTTTGAAACTATTAACCAGTGAATAGTCTTTTTCAGACAAGTTTGTAAAAATGGTAAATTTATTTGTCTATAATTCTTTAAGAAAAAACATATGTGAGGTATAATAGCAATTTCTATAAAAAAAAAAGTACAAATATTTCAGCTTAGAATTTCACAATGAATAACAGTACGTATATATAAAATGCATCATAACAGCGAATAAATCTTTGAACTATAAAACACAATTTTGAAACGAACTATGGAATAAAAATAATATCAAATACACATACTTATACTTTTCCCTGGATACAACTTGATATTTTCATACCCAGGTATATGAGGGTCCTCCTCTGATGCTCTGACAGCCTCAATTTCATGTAATATTATCTTCTGCTTCTCTGCCATTGTAAGAAAGGAATCAAGATCCTCTGAAATGAAGAAGATGGATTATAACTAGGGATGTCAATGAGTACTCAAATACTGGAGTATTGCTTGGTAGTACTGAGTATCCAATATCAAAATGATACTCGACTTATTGATTTCTTGCTAAGACATAGTCCCTTTTCATAAAATTGATTTTCTTGTGAACACCCATTGGATAATTAAATAGTAATCAAAGTTAAAATATGTTTTGTGTGTTTCTGCCAAACTGTCGTTTAAAATGCTTTCTGTTTGGAAATAATAAACAAGAGGCTCTAAAGAGCCTGTGTCGCTCACCTTGGTCTATATGCATATTCAACAAAGGACACTTTCCAACATTGTAGACGAGAATAGAATTCATGACAAAAATCTCTGTTTTGTTGATCTTGTAATGCTGATCATTTGGTCTGTTTGGTTTCTCTCTATCTTCTTAAGTTTTTGCTCAAAACACAAGAGGGTAAAAAAAATCCTCATTTAAGGGCAATCACTCCTACAAAAAGTGAGTCTACTAACTATAAGGGCAAAATTTGACTTGTTAGTAGATCCTGCCTTGCTGATCATTTTTGTGATTTAAAGTGTCTATTTATCTATTTTAATTTTTGTCGAGCCTTCGACTTTTGTCGAAAAAGCGAGACATAGCGATCCTACATTCCGTCGGCGTCGGCGTCGTCGTCGTCGGCGGCGGCGTCCACAAATATTCACTCTGTGGTTAAAGTTTTTGAAATTTTAATAACTTTCTTAAACTATCCTGGATTTCTACCAAACTTGGACAGAAGCTTGTTTATGATCATAAGATAATATTCAAAAGTAAATTTTGTAAAAAAAAAATTCCAATTTTTCCGTATTTTACTTATAAATGGACTTAGTTTTTCTGCCAAGAAACATAACATTCACTCTGTGGTTAAAGTTTTTGAAATTTTAATAACTTTCTTAAACTATCCTGGATTTCTACCAAACTTGGACAGAAGCTTGTTCATGATCATAAGATAATATTCAAAAGTAAATTTTGTAAAAAAAAAAATTCCATTTTTTCCGTATTTTACTTATAAATGGACTTAGTTTTTCTGCCAAGAAACATAACATTCACTCTGTGGTTAAAGTTTTTGAAATTTTAATAACTTTCTTAAACTATCCTGGATTTCTACCAAACTTGGACAGAAGCTTGTTTATGATCATAAGATAATATTCAAAAGTAAATTTTGTAAAAAAAAAAATTCCATTTTTTCCGTATTTTACTTATAAATGGACTTAGTTTTTCTGCCAAGAAACATTACATTCACTCTGTGGTTAAAGTTTTTGAAATTTTAATAACTTTCTTAAACTATCCTGGATTTCTACCAAACTTGGAAAGAAGCTTGTTTATGATCAAAAGATAGTATCCAGAAGTAAATTTTGTAAAAAAAAAATTCCATTTTTTCTGTATTTTACTTATAAATGGACTTAGTTTTTCTGCCATGAAACATTACATTCACTCTGTGGTTAAAGTTTTTGAAATTTTAAATTTTCTTAAACTATCCTGGATTTCTACCAAACTTGGAAAGAACCTTGTTTATGATCAAAAGATAGTATCCAGAAGTAAATTTTGTAAAAAAGTAAAAAATAAATTCCATTTTTTCCGTATTTTACTTGTAAATGGACTTAGTTTTTCTTCCAGTTAACATTACATACAGTCTGCACTTTAAGTTTTTAAAGCATTTATTAGATTGATAAACTATCCTGGATTTTTACCAAACTTGGACAGGAGCTACTTACAATCAAAAGATAGTATAGAGAGGAATATTTTTATTAATTTTTTTCCTCATTTTTGTTGAGCCTGCGATTAACAGCAAAAGTAGGCGAGACACTGGGTTCCGCGGAACCCTTACGAATTTTTATTATATAAGGCAAAACGTAAAAAAAATGGTAAAAATTGTCATTAAAGGGCAATAACTCCAATAAGGAGATGTTGGACGAATTCCTCCATATTGTCTTATTTGTAGATCTTGTCTTGCTGATCATTTTTGCTTATTGAAGTTTCTATCTATCTATTATAACTTTTAAGATATAAGACAAAAACACAAAAAATTGGAAAAAATCGTCATCAAAGGCAATTACTCTAGTATGGAGTCGACTGACGATTTCGACCATGAGACTTATTTATAGATCTTATTTTGCTGATCGATTTTGCTATTTAAAGTTTCTATCTATTATAGTTTTCAAGATAATAGGCAAAAATGAAAAATAAACTGCTTCGCTGAGCGCAGCTGGATACGCCCGCAGAGGTCCAACCCTGAACAGTTGGGGCAAAAATGGACACAATATTCAAGCTTGATACAGGTCTGAATTTGGATTGTAATTAAATATTTGACATATTATAGGTTTCTGAATAAATGTAGTCAAAGAACTTGAAATTGGTTATATGAAATGAATTTATATTCAATTAAAGATTGCTTTCTGTTGTGCAATACACTGTGCTGTTGCGCAATACTAGTAAATCTGTTGTCAGACTATAAACAAATAAAGTTCAATAACTTCTCAATGTTATATTAGAAATTTATAAAAAAAACTAAAGGGAGGTTATCTTAATAGATATAAATCAGTCATCAAAGTTTAATGAAAACTGCTCTAAGCACTTTAAGGATATTGTCCAAAAACTTCACCCCTTTTTTTATGAATAAAATCTTGTAACTCGGAAACATAAAATCTAAAATTTATAAAAATCAAAAGGGAGCTTACAGCAATAGATATAAACAATTTACCAAAGTTTCATAAAATATGCTGAAAGCATTTTCGAGTTATTGGCTGAAAACAGGAATATCCCCCTTTTTGTAACGAATAAAACCCCATAAATCAGAAACGTATAGTCTAAAATTTATAAAAATCAAAAGGGAGCTCATGTCGATAGCATTTAACAATTCACCAAAGTTTCTTGCAAATTGGTGAAATCGTTTTTAAGTTATCGTCCAAAAAACTGGAAAATCCCCCCTTTTTTAATGAATAAAACTCCAAAATTCGGAAACGGTAAATCCGAAATTTATAAAAAACGAAAGGGAGATCATGTCAATAGATATAAACAATTCACCAAAGTTTCATGCATATTGGTAAAAGTGTTTTTGAGTTAATGTCTGACATGTTGACGACAGACGGACGACAGACGGTCAACGGTATACCTTAATACGTCCCGTAAACGGGCGTATAAAAATGGTAAAATTTGTCATTAAAGGGCAATAACTCCTATAAGAAGTCATCTGACAGTTTTGACGTATGTGGACAATTAGTAGAGCTCAACATTCTAAACATTTTTTCTTTATCAGATTCTCTCTATAACAGTTTTCAAAAAAATGATAGAGAAAACTTGCATTTTACCCCTATGCTCTATTTTTAGCCATGTCGACCATATTAGTTGGCATGTTGCGTCATCAGACACATTTTTTAAACTACCGGTAGATACCCATATGATGATTGTGGCCAAGTTTGGTTAAAATTTGGCCCAGTAGTTTCAGAGGAGAAGATTTTTGTAAAAGTAAAAAAACGACGACAGAAGACGATGGATGACAGACGCCTAGTGATGTGAAAAGCTCACTTGGACCTTTGGACTAGGTGAGCTAATAAAAAGACATCTGCAGGATTCCCAAACTAACCAGATCCTAAGAAATTCTGTGCATCATGTATTGAGAATTCTCTGTAATTTCCATCCCCATACTTCTTCTCCATATCCATCATATCTGCTCCTAGCAACAGCCTTTCAATGGTGCCACCTATATACAAAAGTGTTTCCTACAAAACAAATTAATTTGTTAGGAGTTATTAATGGTCCAATTCAGAAGTTTAACTTACTTCCTCGTATATTATGCTTTTGTAGAGTTCCTGCAATAAAGCTTTGTCCAGTCTGAAAAGTTACAAGCACAGCATTCCCATGATGCATCTTAATTTCTGAACCTGAATGTTATGAAATTTTTTTTATTTGTGATGAACTTAAATGAGAAAGAATTCTGTGAATACTAAGTTTAAACTGAGTGTCTTTATAAAGATGCATATGCAAAAATTAACTAAACCTATATCATGGTTTATTCATTACATGAGACAGAAAATAATGAAACATAATACACAAATTCTTGCTACAATTTAAAGGAAATTAGAATAGATGTTCATCATATTCAAAAATCTTATAAACAGCTGCGCCACGAGCGCATGATACGCCTGTCGTCTTGTGTGTGAGGTTTTATGCAATAATCATAAATCGTTTCTGAGATATGGCGCGACATGTGAAAACCCCCTTTTTTTATAAAAAAATCAATAACTCTAAAATAAAATTTTGAATCATCACCAAAAAGTATACAGATCTTTAGAATAATATAATTAAGAAGTGTGTAAAGTTTTAAGCAATAATCATAAATTGTTTTTGAGATACGGCGTGACAAGTGAAAAAAAACACCCCCTGTTTTAGTTACAAAGTCCCGTAACTCAAAAAGTTTTAATCTTATTTTCACCAAAAAGTATACAAATCGTTTGACCATCATAAGAAACAACTATGTTAAGTTTCATGAAATTTGGATAAGTCGTTCTCAAGTTACGGTGCGACATGTGGACGCCGGACAGACGGACAGACAGACAGACGAACGCTGGACATTTGTATACCATAATACGTCCCGTCAAAATTTTGACGGGCGTATAAAAACTGGTCAATAACAGGGGTATCATTAAATAAAGAGAGATTCTTGGAATTTTTTCTTACTGTAAATTCAGAAATTATTGTGAGGTTTTTATAAATGTAAATAATGCAAATGTGTGAGTATCTCAATAATAAGAACTCACATTCTAATATTTGATACATATATCTGTGTGCAGATTTTTCTGAAATCGCAATAATTAATCTCGCATGTTTGTCCATTCTTCAAAAATCGTAATAATAAATGCATGCAATAATTTCTGAATGTACATTATTACCAGAAACAGCACAAAAATGTGGAAAAAGATTTATACAGATGTAAATTTATAGTGTTAGATTTTGAACTGTTAGTTTTGTTTAATCCACTCCTGGTTTTTAAAACCATGCAGACAACTTAAAAAAAAGTATGGGTTGTGTATATAACTAATGTAGGAACTGAAGCATATAAGTGTTATTGCGAAAATCAAATCCATAAACTAAACAATACATTTATTATTATATACATGATTTTACATTTTGTACATGTAAATTACTATACCTATTGGACTGGAACTGATAAATATATACATTGTAACCTGTATATCCAGTGGGAAATGGTTATGGAAGTACAAATAAAAACAATATAATGTTTTTCATCAAGTTTACTTTCTTGTATTTATTATTGATATTAAAACTCTATTCCATTGTTTTCAAGAGGCAAAAAATCTATGATTTGATACAACATACATATTAAGGTAGATCAGGTGTCTTTTACAGAGCATCCCATCTGTGCATGTTGCAAAAATACTTTTTTGGTTTAAAAATATTTTAATATCAAGCTAGAAAATTAAAAATGAGGGTACCCAATTTGTACCTACTTTGACAGTTTTTTTACCATAATTTATTAAAGAAACAGACAAAAGTTTCCATTCTGTATCTATTTCGTAGATATATCCTTATTTATTATACAGTTCTACATATTTAGTTATGAATCCATACTGAATCCTAGAAAAATGGGTTTGAACCGACTTCAAAATGATCAAAGATATTATATAATGAGTACTTATATTGCATCTGTAAAAATTCAATAACTGATTTTTTGTTTTATTTCTCCACATTTAAAAAAAAAAAAAAATTGGACAATAGTCCATGTTTGTTAAACGAATGTTTGTAACATACATGTATCTTAATTTCTCATTTTTAAAAGTCGACTTTTTGTAGATGTTGCATGCAAAGTTTCCTTAAATTTTACTTTTTTCATTTGAGACTTCATCTGTTAATATATGATGTGACTGTTTTGTGTATCTAAGAATATTTAGCTATGTTGAAAGACCTGCATAATAATAAAGGATAAAACTATGAATTGATTAGTCTCTATGGAAACCTATATTATTTGCAAAATTTTTTATGCAAAATTGATGCAAATTGGGTACTCAGTGCAATTAGGGTACTGTTACTTTAGAAAGTTTTTTCATTGTCTTTCTTTTAATAAAAAGATTCCACTGAGATTTTTTTTTTTTATTGATAGAGAAGAGGATCAAATGGGGACATTCTCTTGATAGTTCAAATGAGAACAAATGCTTATAAGATATGATATTCAAAATTATAATTATATTCAAACTATTTTGAAAGAATGAAAAAACTCAAAGCTTGCCATTGGTTGCTGTCTTTCATATATGTTTTTTGTTTATTGCTTTAAACATAAATGAGGCAAATGTTTTTCTTGTTTGAATCATTTTTCATTTTGCCATGTTTGGCCTTTATATAGCATACTTTAAGGTTTTGCTCATTGTTGAAGGCTGTAGTGATCACCTATTGTTGCTTACATCTACATCATTGGGTCTCTGGTAGATAGTTGTCTCATTGACTGTCATACCACATCATCTTATTCTTATATTTCTGTTTTAGATTCAATTTTTTTTCTGCGTTTGTGATTTCAGGTATGTTAGGGTTGGTGGGTTGATACCGAACCCTTAACACAACCATTTTTTTTATTTTGAACTTACACATGTAGTTATTTCAATGGATCTGCTTTTAAAACAGAACACAATAATACCATGCAGTGAGTACTGTCACTCTTAGAAATTTGTGCAATTCGCAAAACTGGAGGGACAACATATGTAAGTTCCACATCTTATAAGCAATAGTACCTTATACATTTCTTTGATGCTAATATAACTTCCGAAATATAATGAGAAATGTTTATTAACTGTTTAAAATATATGGCTGTTTTACCTTAAAGGGGCACTAGCTGTCAAATTCATGTTCACCGATTTGACTCAAATTCTCATATTAGATTTATAACAATGTAAAACATTTATCCAAATTATAAAAAGTCTTAAATAAACAATTAACAGGGCATGGGCTCGATAATATGTAGCTTCATTTCGTGTGTATTTTAGTCTAGACGCCATCTAATTAACTATCGAGATGACCCCGAAAACAACCGACGGTCACATAACACGATATAAACATAAATATAAATAGATATATGGACCTCGTGCAAATAGATTTTTCTATGTCTGTTTGATTTCAATTTTTGCTGTCGTATAAAAAAAATAAGTTTATTTTCGATTTTACCTGTATAAGAATGATTTTTTGTGGATCGAATCAGTCAATTAAATGATTTACCTTTGTTTCACTTTCAAAGTTGACATTCTTTTCTTTTAATAGCCTTACACGCATCAATCATGAATAATTCATCTCTAGCTAAGGGGTTAAATTAAAGTTAATATGAATACAGATTCAATGAGGTCGAATTATTCACTTGCAAGTGAATAATTCATCATCAATGTTTCTTAACTTATTTTTACAAAATTGAACCATAGTAGCTGCTAATAGTGAATTATTATTTCACTATTTCACTTTCATAAATGATTGAACAAAAAAAAAATCATAATTTAAATTTTTTTATGCATCTCGTAGCTAGTGCCCCTTTACCAACTTTTTCTTTTTATTACTCCCTTGGAAGAAAAATAAGCATTTCAATTACACAAACTTTTTATTTCCCAGAATGAAGTCAGTTACAATAATACTATTGGTTTATTTCTAATTTAAAAATTGTTAAAAATAAATAATCAAAAACTAAAAGGTCAAAGATTCATTTTTTCAAGAAAAATCTAGGGAATCAATTTTTGTAACTTTTGATATGTACACTACAATGTAAATGTAAATCTATAATAAAAATTGTGCAACTGTTGACTACTGCCTATAAAATATGTTTGGACATGCTCCTAATAAGTTACTTACTTTGTTACCCTGTAAAATCATAGTATAGGAACAGATATTTTTTTTAATATTTTCTCTAACAATACAGTCAAATTCAAGGATAACAAGACAGGATGTTTGATCTACCTCTTTTCTAACATTTTAGGGATATTAGACCCTTGCCGCTTTTACTGATGTGGTATTTGTAAATTTAAAAAATACATTATTTCCATTACATGAATAGTCATAACAATCACATTTTTAAAATATATTATTGTTGTCTACATAGAGTTATCATCCATTATTTTGTATATTAAATGTCATAATACTTTCATATAGTAAATAAATGGGAAATGTGTCCATGGGACACAGATGATGCTCCCGCTTGCATATAAAGTTATAAAGGGACATAACTTAAGAACGGTAAAAGTGACACTACCCAAATTTGTACTTGATCTGAGTTTTGTTGAAATAAACATTGTATATAAGCTTCATAACATTTGCTTGAGGCAAACTAAAGTTAGAGAACGGAAACAAAAATTCAGCAATTTTTCCATTTGTAAAGGGGCATAACTCCAGAATGGTAAAAGTGACGCTACCCAAATTCAAAATTGATCTGTGTATTGTGGTGGTAATGAGCATTGTGTATAAGTTTCATAACATTTGATTAAGGCAGTCTTAAGTTAGAGAATGGAAACCAATTTTGGGACGTACGTACAGATGGACAAGGGTAAAACTTAATGCCCCCTCCGCTACGGCGGGGGCATAAAAAACATAGCTTTTATCACTACCGATTACTAGCTATCAGTACCACAGATGCATATAACACAGAGCAAAATCTGTTGTACACAATTGCAATTATGAGAGTGACATTTTTTTAAAAGCCGCTTGATTAACGACTTTAATGCACTCACCTAACTTGCTAACATACGTCTATATTATACATCGTTCAAAACCTTATTATCTATAATTTCTGTTTTGACCTGTAAATAATCGATAATTGGTTCTGTACAATTTCCATTAAATCAAGGTTAAAGGTAAAAATATAACATTTCTAAATTTTGCAAAAATTATGGCAAATTACCTTTTCTGGTTCTTGCATGATAATTTTCTTTATTAAAATTGTATGAATCTTATAGAATGGAATTCCTTAATTCTTAATCAAAAGCAAATTAAGAGGTTAATAGAGAAATATTCATAGGAAATTGCAAATCTTAAAAATCCTCCAAAAATGATAAAATTGCTCTAAAATCTAAATATTTCTTTGGGGATAAATATTCATATACCCAAAATAAAACAACTTTATTGCTAAAGGTCAAGGTAAATGTTTTCATCAATTTAAATTGCAAGTTACTGTAATGTATATTGTTCTGAAAACAGCCTTCTATTGAAGCTTTTACAGATGCCAAAAATACCTCCATCTGCTAATAGGCATAATTAAACTTTTCATCGATTGTAGTCAATATCGTCATAATTTGAGAAGAGGTAATACAAGTATTTAAAGAAACATGCTAGTTATATATAGTAAATTATGCTTTTCCATGTTGAACTTCTCATGATGAAAGGAACAAACATGACCTTTCTCCTAAATAAATGGTGAAATATTGAAACAGGCATCTTGCATTTGGAAGTTTCCATAATATCAACCAACCAAAAATAATTCTACTGCTGCTTTTGTTTAAAAAGTGTTAAACTTGTAAAGAAGTTTAATCTTGTGTCTACCGAATGAATACTGTTTGCACTAGGCACTTTTAAATCACAAATCCATGTAATTTCATATGTTGTCACATTAAGGTTTTTTTGATTTTATATTGAATATTTTCTGTAACTTCATAATGTTCAGGATTAAATACCTATCCTGAGCATCTGAGATTATCCCTGGAGTTAGGAAGTGCTTACTTTTACATTACAGTGTAGTGTTTTGTGGACTGTATTGTTTGGCTGTTTAATCATTATGTTTCAGTATTGGTGTAATCTTTGTTTCGATGTGTTATGGTTTAAGATTGTCCTCTTCATATATTATTCAACCAAGGAAATGATTAATAAGTTTGTTTTGAAGTTCAGTGATTGATGAAATCACAACCAGACTTAATTGAGTGATTTTAGGTGATTAACAGTTGAATCACATACAAATATTTTGGTTTTCACTTATTTTTATCATTTCACTGAAATTTTTGGGAAAAAGCACTTTTTATAAAAAATATGTCGCTAATATTTTAAAGTGCCTTTGAGAAGTGCCAGTTTATCCCTGTTCTAACAGTTTTTCTTGTTTTCGTACATTTTTTTATTATTTAGAAGACATAATATGCAAAAATGCTGACATCTTGAAAAATAAGATATTGACCTTTGATCTTGATTTGACAGAAATTGCCCCATACCAATAGTTAAAACATACTCCTGATGATATGATTTGGAATGGTATATGATTTTGCTATATGTTAGGTGGGTGCATTAAAAATGAACTTTTATGGTTAATGTCACTCATCTAAATGGCAATCAACAGACAGACAAAAATCTGCTGTACACAATATAATATAATAGCCAAACCAATTGTTTTTAATATCAATCTGGAACACAGATCATATTGTATCTGTCAAAGTGATAGCTGATTATAGGGTGTGTTAATTGATATCGATAATAAAAATTAAAGTAGAAACATTACAAAGAAGGAGCGATGATCTTCATAAGCAGTCATTATACATGTAGGTATTCAATTTACATATTGATTCTTGTTCATTACAAATCTAATTTAAAGGCAATAGATTTCTTCTGTTAATAGTTATTGCAAATATTGGATTACAGCTTTTCTATAAAAGCATGCAAAGCAAACCTTTGATCAACCTGCTTGCTATGTTTGCTTGGATGTTTGTAAACAAAAGGGTAGGCAGAGTTTCAGTCTGTTTAATATATACTGGTATTTGATTGGATAATAAAAATTGACATACAATGTGAAACTTAACATTTAAATGAAGTTAATGTTTATTGTCCAATCAAATTCCTGTATATAGTAAACAGACTGAAATAGACTACCTATCTGTTGTTTATAAACATCCAAACAAACATAGCAAGCAAGTTGATCAAAGGTTTGCTTTGCATGCTTTTATAGAAAAGCTGTAAAAAGGTTACACAAACTATGTGAGATAACTCATTATAATGTAATTATAATTCATTCGTTTTAAATGATAATTTCTAATACATTTGTTGTACTTGCTTTTTTTCTTCTTATCTAGGTCTAAAACGAAGTTCACAACAGATCATTTTTGAACTCTTTCTAGTCCTTTAAAAGATTTTGCAACTTTTTTTTACCTGACTATGATGCATGACAACAGTAGACACCTCTAATTCTGCTCCTCCTGAGGCTCTGGTGGCCTGTAGTTTGGCAACCAACCATTCTATTGCTGCTTGCTTAGATGTAGATAAAAACTGTATAATAACAAGAGGCTGGAAATCGCTAGATGGAGTCTTTCCCATTGACACACTTTGTATTCTCTCTGTAGCCATGTTTACACAACTTTCCCCCTGCAAATATAATTATTACCATCTTGTATACATGTTTGTAAATACCTGTTTTAAGAAAACAATAAAAGTTTATTAGACAGTCATTATGCAAACCTACTCCAGATCCCCTTAAGATAGGAACAAAAACAATTACCCTCAACTTCAAGGTAAAGATCACACAAACTCAGTTTTAAAATACATAAAGGAGATGTGGGGTATATGAGATCGTTCATAAATAAAAAAAAATACCCAAAGACATCTAGAGGGCACTTTACAGTCTTCGACAGCAGAGATTTGTCTATACAATATGTCAAATCTTGAATCTATAAAAGTTTGGAAAAATTTAACAGAAACAATCAAAGATCTGCCATTACCACCCATTTTTTTGATTTGTGAAAATCTAAATTAAAGTCAAATTATTTTCATGGAAACAATTGACCATTGATTGTTATACAGACATATATACAAATGAATATTATGGGTTAAACCAGGTGAAAATGTCACAAAAGTCACAAAAATTTGGTCCAAAGTAGAATTTCAATCCATTTGAATGATACCTTTTCTGAGACCATTGACATTTATCTATCAAGAGGTCAAATAAAGATCAAATGCATTTCACCTCATTTTTCCATAAAACTGAGTTGAAAAGTTTGAGCGTAAAATATTTGTAGGAAAACACAACAATAATTTCTGGACCTATGGGCAGTACATTTGTGAAAATACAGACTCAAACAGAAAATGGCTTATAAAACAATTCAAAATACAATCTTGATGGTCATTTAAACCCACTTTGAAGGCTTTATCATTCTTCAGCTATCTAAAAATCAAGTTTATTGGACTATAACTGTTATTTTTTAAATTTCACCAGGTCAAAATGTGAAACCAAACTCCTAACTGTGTATTGCTACCTTAAAGACAGTGTTTCCAAATGGAGTGGATTTGTATTTGCATATATTTTTACACTGTACATAGCCAAACTGCAAATCCCAAAATTTGAATGGTTCTGACACATATTATGATATTTGTAAGTTCGAAACACCTGTAGAACCAAGTAATTATTTATGAGTGTCTATTGTTGAAGACTGTAGACAAGACTTGAAAATGCTTCTTGGTTCTTCTTGTAATTTGGTTGCTGTCTCATAGAACCCTCATATTCATTTTTAAAACCTTGAAAACACTTTGGACAGATAATTATTCAGTTGGTTCTTTCATGAGCTCTATATAATTGCAAGTCCGAAATCCATCCGAAAAATTATCATATAAATGATGATGTTTGCCATAATCTATGTATTTTCAAATAAAAGGTAAGAAGTTGGCTTTTTTTTTTACATATCATAATGATATTTATTGTGTCTTCCTGGATCCTTAAATATTCATTTTCAGTTTGAATTGAAGTTAAGATTTCAGCAAATAAAATAAACTGCTTCGCTGAGCGCAGCTGGATACGCCCGCAGAGGTCCAACCCTGAACAGTTGGGGCAAAAATGGACACAACATTCAAGCTTGATACAGGTCTGAATTTGGATTGTAATTAAATATTTGACATATTATAGGTTTCTAAATAAATGTAGTCAAAGATCTTGAAATTGGTTATATGAATTGAATTTATATTCAATTAAAGATTTCTTGCTGTTGTGCAATACACTATATGCTGTTGCACAATACTTAGTAAATCTGTTGTCAGACTATAAACAAATAAAATTTATAAAATTCTAAAGGGAGCTTACATCAATAGATATAACCAATTCACCAAAGTTTCATAAGAATTGTTGAAAGCATTTTTGAGTTATTGTCTGAAAACTGGAAAATCCCCCCTTTTTTAATGAATAAAACCCCATAACTCGGAAATTTAAAATCTAAAATTTATAAAATTCTAAAGGGAGCTTACATCAATAGATATCAACAATTCATCAAAGTTTCATGAGAACTGCTGAAAGCATTTTTGAGTTATTGTCCGAAAACTGGAAAATCTCCCCTTTTTTTTATGAATAAAACCCCGTAACTTGGAAACGTAAAATCTTAAATTTATAAAAATCAAAAGGGAGCTCATGTCAATAGAAATAAACAATTAACCAAAATTTCTTGCAAGTTGGTGAAAGCATTCTTGAGTTATTGTCTGAAAACTGGAAAATCCCCCTTTTTTTTAATGAATAAAACCCCATAACTCGGAAACCTAAAATCTAAAATTAATAAAAAACGATAGGGAGCTCACGTCAATAGATATAAACAATTCACCAATGTTTTATGCAAATTGGTTAAAGCATTGTTTATGTCTGACATGTTGATGACGGACGGACAGACGGACAACGGTATACCATAATACGTCCCGTAAATGGGCGTATAAAAAGGGCCCTCATCTTAAATTGTCCTTGTAAGAAATTTCTTTTTCTTTCTAACAATTTTGAAAATTTGGCCTGCATTATACCGTTTAAATACATTTCCCTCTCACAGCCACATTGGAAAAGTCAGTACAAATATGAAGAACTCTTCCTGTAGATTAACATGATTAAATATAAGATGTTATGAGAAAATACATTCCTTTCCTTCATCTTATTTAGAATGTGTAAATTGAGTTTGATAGTCTGAATTAAAATTTGTAACTCTTATTTCTAAATCATAAAGAAAATTCTGCTAAAATCTCTTTTAATATAATGCATTAAATTACAGAGTTATACATGTACACATGTTTAAAGTGGACTCATTTTTTCAATATTCAATCTACTACAGATTCTATAGTAAATTACTGACTATAAACACAAAATAATGTTAATTCACTGTATAAAATTTATTTATTTATTTGTATTTTGATAGGAAATTCTTGCAAATTTTAAAATCATTTCTAAGATCTGACGGTTTCTGGAAATATATCATGACATAGGTTGTTGTATTCTTGTAAATGGCATCTTAAAGATAGGTTTTCTAAAGAAAAATAACTGATTCAATAAGAGTTTAGCTGATTTTCTATTAATGTTCCTTAGTCTCTCACCTGAAACTACTATATAATGCATATGTGTTACAGTGTGCTATAGTAGTCTCAGTTCTTGTCTATATTAGTCCCTAAAATAAAAATGAATTGTTACTGATAATTTAGACACCTCAGTTGTTCAATTGTTAATATGAAAATATAGAATTACCACAACATAACCTTTTTCTTTAGTTTAAATATCATTTTACATTTTAAGAATTCATCAAACGCCCTTTGAAAAAGAATATAATTGCATGGAATAGGAAATTAATCTAAGTGATGTTTCATCTAATACAATAGACAATATTTAACTGAATAGCAAAACATACTATGTGTCAGAATGGCTATAAATCAGCATGTCAAACTATCAAATAAGACTGTTACGTTGTATATCTACCTGTAAATGCAATCTGTTGTGCGCCTTACCTGTTTGTTTACATATTTTGTGTGCACGTGGGAATGCATCCGAAATTAAAACTTACAGATCAAAATATCAATCGGTATTCAAAGATCAATCATCAAAGAGGTTCGCATTCCAGCCAGATTAAAATCGTAGGTGTCATCACATTACGATGAAATCCGGAAAAAGTCACAGGTGAGCGATTCGTCACTCAGGTATGACATTTAACTGGGACACTAAACTAAATATGGCTGACTAAAGTTGATAACAGTAAAACTGTGAAACGAGCCAAATTTCATAGAGAATTTACTAAATATGAACCTATCGGGATTACCAAACATGCAGCCTTCATAATGAAAAAGAAAAAAACATTTTTTGGTGAGTTTAACACCTGTTAAATACAGAGGAATGTGCAAAGTTTACCGCTATCACAGTAGCAATTGAGGAATGGTGCAGAATTTCGTCTCTTCCCAAATATCCAATTACAACTTGCATATAAACAAACGTATAAGATACCAAATAAATGAAAATAACAACACAATCATGCTACCATACAGGGGCGGATTTAGTGGGGGGGGGGGGGGGGGGGGGGGGAGGTGGCCCGGGCCCCCCTTTTGTGGGAAAAAATTGGTTGATTATATAGGAAATCACTGAAGCATGACTGGAGCGGGCCCCCTCTTAGGCAGTCAGTGGGCCCCCACTTATGAAAATTTCTGGATCCGCCACTGCCATACAACAAAACACAGCGAAAGTATTTGATAATGGAACCTCGATCCCGATTCATACCAGCGCATACCTATTTCACAAGCACAAGAGAGTAGACAAGTCAATCATACCATGTCTTCTTATTTTTATACTGACTTGAGACAAGTTTAGCCAGTTATGCATATCAAGAATCAAAGCCAATCTGTATTATAGAAATGGAAAAAAATGTGACCTAACAAAATTTTTATAGTATATTTTTTATAATTGTAGATAAAATATGATTGACCGTTACATCTATGCTCTAACAATATTGCTGGGTACATGTGCAGTTCTTGTTACTGGATGCCCTACTACATGTACATGTTTAAGAAAGAACAGTAAAGAAGAGGTAACATGTAGTAGTGGTGGAAGTCTACAAACCATCATTTCAACTTTGGACGCGTCAACAAGTTACCTTGAAGTTATTTCAACAACAGTTAATTCTCTATCTCCAACAGATTTCAGTGGGATAACTGCCACAAACTTGAAAACTCTCATCTTACGGAATTGCTATATTAGTAATATTTATGACAATTCTTTTGAACTTCTTTCAAATATTGTGAATTTAAATCTGACCCATAACAGTATTAGTACAATTTCTACAAATGCATTTGCTGGATTGACAAATTTACGATCGTTAGATTTGTCATCCAATAGGATCTCTGAACTTGGTGAACAGTTACTTCCGTTGGTTCATTTGCAAAAATTGGATCTTGGTGAAAATTTACTCACAGACTTAAATTCAGGTGTATTCAGAACATTGACTCATTTACAGATCTTAACACTCAATGGAAATAAGCTTGAAAATTTGCATGGAGATGGTCTGAAAGGACTTGGATCTTTAAAACGTTTGAATTTGAGGCACTGTGATTTGACAGCTATACCAAGTGATTTATTTGCAAATTCCAGAATCGTTCAAATTTTAGATATTGGTTTCAATAGAGTAGTGTTACTTCCATCATCAGAAGTTTTTGTCCAAAAGTCCCCATATCTAAATACACTCATTGCAGATGGAAACCGCATAGAATCATTAAAAAGAGACCAGTTTTCTAATATGCACATGGCCAAGTTGTGCTTAGCTAAAAATAGAATTCGACAAATACAATATGGTGTATTTGATCACTTTGATGTTCAAGAATTAGATTTATCTGAAAATGTTATCAGCAGTATTCACAGAAACGCTTTTAGTCAGATAGCTTTACAATTGACAAAACTTAATTTGGCTGGAAATCCTCTAGGAACAATTCCAGAGGGTTGTTTAAATAGCCTATACAGGCTACAACACTTAAATTTATCAATGTGTGCATTGAACCATTTAGACATTGATGAATTTGGTAAATTACAGAGGCTAGAAACACTGGACCTATCAAGGAATAGAATTCCATACACTCCACAACCTGTTTTGGATTCTTTTAATCACATGTCACAAGTAAACATAGAACAAAACGCTTGGCATTGTGATTGCCACATACTTCCATTTAGAAGATGGCTTTCAACATCAAATGTTGGAAATATGTATTGCAGTTCATTGTATTCTCTTGATTGCAGACATCCCAAATGTTCTTCCCCTCCAAAATTAGCAGGTCAAATAATAAAACTCACAGATGAAAGAGATTTAAAATGTGAAAAAGTAACTGAAAGATCGCCACTTAAAAAATCTCAAGTAATTGGAATATCTGTAGGGTGCATAATCTGTTTTACCATTATCATAGCTATCATTATAATATGTATACGCCACTCACAAGGGAAGATAAGTCTGTCATGTAACGATTCTCAAATCAGTAGCACAGAACTTGGTGACAAAGACCGGTCAACAAAACCATTCCATGACCCAGAAGTAGGATCACTTGACGAGTCAGATAAAAGTTTTGTTGTCCGGAATTTTTTTCATTCAATGGTACCAAATCCTAGTGCTGTTTCTCGTGGTTCTCCTGAAATGTCACGTAAAGAACTTGATGTATCCCATAGATCCCAATCATATTCAACATTAAACAGTGTAGGTTATAATCCAATGGGGAGAGAATCTGCAGTGTAGCTGTAATAGTATATACATACATGTACGTGTACATTGTAGATGTTGTACATGCATTCATGATAGATTAGTATGTAAAATGTATTGTAGGCCAATGACTTTTGTTGCAAATTGAACAGGGTAATTAATTTATTAGGCAATATATCATTCACAAAAAGCTACATTCATCAATTTAAGTCAACAAAAAATTTGCCAATACATGCAGGGAAATAATGGTTGATGTTTAAAGAAATATATATATATTCTCTTATGAATTGTACAGTGTATACAGGTGTAGTACAAGTACTTTGGTAAACAAAAAATGGATAGTAAAAAGAAGTTATTCTACAGCAACATTTAGTCAGCAACTCAGCTGACTTTAATCTTTTTTGTTATGTTTTCTTTATATTATAATTTTTCTACTTTTTTTTGGATTTTATATGAAAGTTTTTATTAACAAAGTGCATTTAAAAAATGCAACAACTCATTTAACTTGAGGATGTATTCTTCTGACGTTTCAGTCTCGTTGAAATCTCGTTCTGGAATTATTTCCGAAACATGTGATACAAAGTGGAAAATATCAATGAATTTAAAAAATGTTATAATCAAACTTAACTCTGTGAAAAAATTGTGTATTTACAATAACTAGTTTTTGAGTAATAAATTTTTCAAATTTTATTACCAATCAAGTCAGTCTTTTTAGCCAAAATTTTGAAAAAAATGGGTGAGGGGTACAAGAAATGATTTTACCAGAAATATGTACATCCCATATCAATTTTTTCTTTTCAAATTTCTTAGATATGTATTTTTTCAATCATTTATAACAAAGAAGTTGAAATAATACGCATTTTGTTCTAAAAATAGAGAAAAATCACAAATTTACAAAATTGACAACATGGTAAATTTGACACAAAAAAGCATCAAAATATGATAAAACTTTCTTATATCAACACCTACCTATAGTTTTTTAAGTTAAATTTATTCAGATTGGTCCACTTCATCTTTATTGAAAGTATGAAAAAAAGTTTAATTGTGGAACTGTGATTTTTTTCACGATAATAGCCCAAAAATTGGTAAAAATTGATGAAAAATGAGAAAATCATCAAAACTGGGTACTTTCAAAGGGCTGTAGCAAAAAAAGAAGTGCACCACCATTTGATTTTTTCATCATCAATTATTTTTTTAGAGTCATATAAACCCAAAAATCAGGTTAAGAAAAAAAGTTTAATTCTAGAAATTTTTGGCTCCTCAGAGGTGTACATCCTTAATAGAATTTTAAATAAACTGTTTAAAAATATAGCAATGTATGTGGTAAATATTATGGTGCTTGCTTCCACAGTGATAAGAGGATAAGAATACATGCAATACTGAAATTAACAAAATTTTTAAGTATAAAAATCAATTAAAATTTACATTTTACAAAGTATGAAGCTGCAAATGGGGGTAAAATTTGGGGCAAAATTGGCCGTAAAATCAAATATATTTCAAACTATATCTGCTTATTAAATATGAAAATTTTTGTACTGACTTCACTTTCAAATTGTGTTATCAAGTCTTATATATGCACACTTCTCTAAGCTCTCCTTCTGATTGCTAAAAAGAGTTTTAAGTACAAATGTATATAAAATGTTTGTCGGTGAACTTACATTTATGCTATTAAATATATATCAAGTATATAGTATGAATGTACAGTACTAGTGCATGGCCAAAATTATTGGCCACCTGCTTTTTTTGCTACCAGGATATATTTCATAGTAAAACACATTTTTTTTTAAATATTTTGAAGGCATTTATTATTGAACTATACAAACTAGGTGTTTAAAACAAAGAATTGTTTATTTGTTTATTTTGTCATAATTTTGTTTCCCTTGAAATTTTATATATATTCCAATTAATTGAATCATTGTATAATTTGCATTAGCTTTTTACAATGATTTTGTAATCAAAACAAGTGATTATTTGATTACCAGACCAAATATTTCATGATTATTTGATTATTTGATAATCTAGGACTGTATTTTTGATTATTTGATTATCTTGTTTAAAAAAATAATTAATGATTATGCGATTATGTTTGCAAAAAAATTGTGATTATGTGATTACTTGGACTCCCCATGAGGAGCCTCAAAATTGTATTGTTTTTATTAAGCTAAAAATATGACACAGTTAACATTGCAATACATTGAAACTTTTAGTCATTGGTACTTTTATTATATTGTTATATATGCAGTACAGGAATTATTTATTAATATTTAATTGCCAAATTCAGAAATGGTATTGCATTGTGGTAGGATAACTGTTAGAAATTGGTTGAGACATTGTTTGTGTGGACATTGAGACTCGCTCATAGTTCAACATACTTTATCAGAAATTGAATTTCTTAATTTGTTAATTATTATGAGTTTTCAAATATTTTGCTTTGAAGGGAAGAAAATATGATATTCAAAGGGAGGCAAAAAAAATCCTCAAAAATCAAAATATGGACAAATTATGTGTGCAATATGTTCTGAATTGACAGGATAGGACTAACCAATTTTGTCTTAAAAATCAATGTATTTTTTATGTCAACTGTTACTGTAAAAGAAAAAAGAATTGATAAAAAGTTAATTCACTAGTATAACTTTAATACTCAATATTTAGATAAATGTAGCTATACTCAACGAGTATTATAATCCATATTGATATCTGTAGTACTTGTATTAAAATCATTTGTTTATGTCTGTAAAAGAATTGTGGTAATGAATTTGAGGAAAAGATTGTAACAAGCATGCATTTACATACAAGCATAACTCTGTGAAATGATTATTTGCAATTTTCCTATACCTAGTTTTGCTTTGCAAGAGTTGTCTGCCTTCTCTTATATTTGCAAGGGTCAATTTTTTGCTTGTATCTTGTGTATTTCTACTCTGGGACTGTTATACTATCCTAAAAGACAAATCATTCATTGTTAAAAAATGTGATCAATACAAGTAATATTTAATGAAATACTATAGTCAATAATAGTGAGTATGTGTACGTAATTTGACACATATCTGTTTCCGTATCATAATGGTAATAATAAATGACCCAACAATGTAATCGATACGAGGGTCGATTATCAAGTCCCATCAATATATTATCTCCCAGTTCTACAATACAAATTTCGACTACTTGTATTCATTATTTCTTTTCAATGGTGTAATGGGAAATACATGTATATATATACATGCATTTATTATTTTAAGATTGTATATATAAGCAGAGATAAAAATGGTTGAATTTAGCTGTCAAATTCATGTTCACCAATTCAACTCAAAATCTCATACTGTGGATTCATTTATTTTCGTGGGTACCAATTTTCGTGGATTGATGAAAACCTGCATTTTTGTGGATATTTGATTTCGTGATTTTGCCTAAGTCTGCATACAGCCCTATAGAAATTTGCAGTTCGTTAAACATTTAAATTCGTGGTTCACCTGTACCCACGAAATCCACGAAAATTGGTATCCAACGAATAATAATGAATCCACAGTATTCTATTTATAACATAATAAATGTCTATCCAAATTACAAAAAGACCTAAAGAAACAAAAAAATGCATGGGCTTGTTATAATGTATCACCATTTTGTGTGTATTTTAGAATAGATATCATCTAATTAACCATCAAGATTATTTCCAAAAATTCTGTTGGTCATATGACCTCATGTAAACATAAATATTTTACATTCTCTATTCTATAAATATAAATATTTTTAAAAAAGCAAGCATGTGCAATCATTTAATGAAAATTTTTCTATGTCTGTTTGATTTCATGTAATAGATTACAAAAATAGGTAAATATATTATGTTAAATGTATTTGGATGATTTTTTGTGGGCAGAATCAGTCAACAAAAGGGATCTTCCTGGTGGCTGCCTTGCTTCACTTCAATATTGAAGTTCTTTTCTTTTTAATTACTAAACATGCTTAGCCCATGGGTAGCCCTTCCTCAGTGAAGGGTTAAATTGAAGTTCAAGTGAATAAAGTTTCAAATGAGTTGAATTACTGACTTGCAAACCAATTATATATCATTAATGTTTTTGAGCTTATTTTGACAAAATTGAACGAGCTGACTGCTTACAGCAAAATATTATTTCACAATTCCACTTTTATAAACATTTGGAACAATAAAGTCATATTTTTATTTATTGTCAACTTTTTAGCTAATGCCCCTTTCATGCCTTTAAAGTGGAGTTAAATAAATGGAAAAAAAAATAATAGACTATGAAGCTATGGCTTTAGAAATATTTTTAAAATACATAGAATTCTTAAAACTGTTGTAAATTATGTGAAGATACATGTAATTGCAGATACATGCAACAAATAAAGCTTTTACTTTCTATTTGAATTACAAAATTTCTGTAACCTTTTTCAGTGATTTTCACACAATCTAACTGGTTCATATATTTACTCTAATTTATGCTTCATTATAATGGTATCACCCTTGCCTAAAAAATATATTTGGACATTAACTTAAACAATTTTGTATATTGTATGCAAAACATATTACTGTATCATGTTCATTGTATACATGTTGATGTTATTAAGTATCATAAAACATAAATTTATTATGCATATCATGAATATTGCAATAAAAATATTTTATAGACAAATATTCATATGACTTTGTGTTTGTATGAACAGGATATCACAGTCCCATCCAAAAAGATGCTACAAGCACTTTTTTATACAATTCCTCTTTATTTAGGAAAAATGCAACACAAAGTTATAATGCCCTTTAAAAGGCTTGCTAAAAAGTGTTGTTTTCAATAATTATAGTCATTTAATTTCTTTTTCTTAATAAAAAAATAAGATTGTCATGCCGCTAGAGATTCCTTTCTTTTAAAATATGCATGAAATAGTTTTCACCATGCGAAATAATTGTAAGGATTATTTGCCATGATACAGCATGTATATACAGTAATGGAATACAAAAAGTACTTGTTGATGTTCATGTACATTATGCAGTGGCAGATCCAAGGGGGGTTTCGGAGGTTGCAACCCCCCTTTTTATTGACGATCAATGCTTTTGAATGGGGACATATGGTTGGAACCCCCCCCCCCCCCCTTTATCCTGGGTTGGAACCCCCTTTTAAATAAGGCTGGATCCGCCCCTGTTATGTAATACAGCAATGTCTTTAAGGAATTAATGAAACGTTTGTTGAAAACTACTTTGACATTTTCAAACCATTTTCCCTCTCTACAACATGTAAATGGTAGGGTATATATGCAAACTGGATAATGAATCACTTTTACATATTTTAGAAAAATCTGACCATTTTCGGATTAGAACTTATACAAAATGATTACACTAGTCATTTTCTTTTTTATTATACAACGGCAAAAAATTTTGCGGTCGTATATTCATGATATTGGTATCACGTCAACATCCGAAGACATTTGGTTTCCGGACAATAACTTTAGTAAATGTAAATACAAATCTATGAAATTTAAACACAAGGTTAACAACAATAACAGGAAGGTTGGGATTGATTTTGGGGATTAAAGTCCTAACAGTTTAGGAATTAGGGGCCAAAAAGGGGCCCAAATAAGCATTTTTCTAGTTTCCAGACAATGACTTGTGGAACGGTGATTGGATCTCTCTGAAATTATACCACAAGTTTCCATACCACAAAGGGATGGTTAGGATTGGCTTTGGGGGATTATGGCTCAAACCGTTTAGGAAATAGGGGCAAAAAAGGGGGAAAAACAAGGGTTTCCTGGTTAATGGACAATTAAAAAAAACTATAAATTCAAATCATATAACCAATTCTAAGTTCTTTGACTAGTTATTCTGTGTCAGAAACCTATTATGTGTCAAATATTTAATTACAATCCAAATTCAGACCTGTATCAAGCGTGAATATTGTGTACATTTTTGCCCCAACTGTTCCGGGTTGGACCTCTGCGGTTTATCCAGCTGTGCTCGACGAAGCAATTTATTTCCCTTTAAAAAAATTCCATGTGTTCAATGTTGAATTCATGTCCAGGTGTCAATATTAATGGTGTCCCATCTTTATTTTCTTCCAGTAAAAATATATTTGTTAAGTTTATCAAATATTGATATTAAGATAAGGAGATATGGTATGATTGCCAATGAGACAACTATCCAATGCAAGAGTCCAAAGTACAAGTTTTCATTTTTTGTAGCTGTTTAGGCATGTCATGTATGTTATTTATGGAGGTCTTCTGTCCGACTATAGGGCAAAAGTCTTATAAAAAAATATTTTATGCAAGGCCAAATAGCAGGTAATATTATTTTGGAACAGAAAGGGTCCGGGGGATGTACAATATTAAAGCCACTTTGCCACATGTTTATCTTTTTCCTAGAAATATATTACACCTTTTTGTCATGGGACTAAAAATGGAGATTTGGTGTGTAAAGAGAAACTTGATGTTGTATCACATTACACATGTTCAACCTATATTTTCATGTAGTCAGTTTATGGTGGCATATTCACTCGACCTATGTTCATAGTATCTTCATTAAATTGAATTTGGAACTCTTTTAATTTTATGCCTAAGGATCAGTCAGAAATTGCTGACCTGTACTTCTTAAAGTACTGCCAGTGGTAAGGCTCTCTACTTGATAGATCTTTTACAAATGTTTGACATACTTGAGTAGAGAGTGAATTTTCATGTGCAAATTTTTTAACAACTACAATACACAAAGGATGATTCAGTTAACACTCACTATATCACTCTTGGGGTGATTTTTCACAAAACATGCAAAATATAGGAAATTGTATTTGATTTACTTTGAAATTAATATATCTCTCTGTATATTCCAATTGCTATTAATAATAATACTTTTATTCCAAAAGCAATTATGTATATACAGCTTATAGGATATATACAATGATTGACAAATTAATTATACATGCGCACCATATCACATAAACAGACATATAATCAAATGTTAACTACATAATTAAATGACAGGCATGTGACAGGGGTGTTGTGGAATCTCAATAAATACGTTGTGTTTTCTATATACGTTTAATCGTCGTGATAGCTATTGAATCTATACAATAACGTTATTCACTACAGCGTTATGGTTACAACGTTACCATAGTTCAATGTTAGTACTTCACGTATTTTCCGACATTCTGGGGGCCGACAAAAGTGAAATATGTAACGAAAATTAAAAAGTTTAAGTTCACAATATATATAAAAGAAATTTAAAATTAATGTCCATCTCAAATAAAATAATCTAGTTCCTTAACCTTAACTGATCACAATTAAAGTTTATCTCTTAGTCCATTCATGGATGTTTCTTCTGGCACACACGGCAGCTTCACGAAACGGTAATTTTCTTTACACGTTGTAAGTTCCTGTCCTGTATCTATGTGGCTTTTTGACTCCACCAGTTGAGGGTGTGTTCATTCGGGCGGTCTAGGTAGCAAGTTACTAGTACTTCTTTTCAGCTTTTCATCAAGTGGATTTAAATGCACTCTGCTTTGTACGAACAATTGTGATATGTGATTTGTCTTACTTTTAGCAGCGATCATATTTGAAGGTACAAACAAATGTACTAGATCTCGATGATCATATTTCAATGGCAACTTTGTCGTGGATTTTCCTTCCTCGTTGTCAATAGCTGTGTTCTTGTATGATATGTCGTTTTCAAGAATTGTAGATGTTGACGACTGGTTGATGTTTCTATTGATCGGTCCTGATAATAGATATCCGATCTTTGACTGAACAGCGGTAGGTCCGTTTCCTCTAATAACTTTGTCCTCGATAATGTCCCAATAGTAGTCAGGGCCTATGAGTAAGTCAATTTCGAAACGTTCTGTACTTTGCACAGAATGTGCAAGTTTAAGTTCTCTTAAGTGTGGCAAGCTCCTTGTAGTCTGGGAAATCTTGTTCTTAATCGGGACGGCAATTTCCGGAACAATGAGTGTGTTAATACTCACCTTTTCTCCTGTGTCGGTCTGTAGTTGTATTGTTGCAGTGTCTAAGTTACGAACTTTCTGAGATAAATCTCCGAACGCAGACAGTTGAATGCTGACTTTTCCTGTTGGTTTAATTTCGAGTTTATCAGCCAATTTCTGAGTTATGAAAGAACGCTGTGCTCCCTCGTTAAATAATATGTTACATTCTACTTCTTGGTCGTCATATATAACTGGTGCAGTTGCTGTTTTCAGGAGAATGTCGTGACTATGTTGTGATGAATACATTACTCTAGTCTCGTTTGGTGTTTCAACTTCGTTTATCACTTAATGTTGTATTGTAGGCTCCGGTTTCGTACCTGGAATGACCTCTTTATCTTAACATATGCTAGTATGATGCATTCCGTTACAAATTCCGACAAGGGGTGCATCCATGTCATTTTGACTCTGGTGGATAGTTGCATTGGCAATCATACCACAACTCCTTATTTTTATTTTGTAAACAAGTGTTTTCACCTAATTCACTAGCAATTACCCTGTTTCACAGTTATTCACTCAACACCACGAAGAGTCATTTTGAATTGAATCTACTTGTGTGCACTGAAATACTAGCACAGTGAAGGCAGAAACCTGTATAAACTAAAACCTTTCTAAACTGGAAACTTGTCTAAAGAAGACTTACTTCAAATTCCCTTTATGCCATTATTAAAACATTATGGATCTGTATAAACTGAACAAATCCATCTGTCCTTGAGGGGTTAGGTTTAGCAGTCAGGGGACTTACTTAAATGAGTGATTTTTTTAATCGCTGATTCAAGTAACATTGTCTCCATAAATGTTGGAAGTAAGAGTTGTCTTTCTTTAATATAAATCACCTATTTAGTAGTACAAATAAATCACTAGACTAAGTGATTTAATTTTATTCTAGCTTTAAATATACAATACTAATGATCCAGGGACTAATTATGTTTCTAAAATTATCAGAACCAACATCTATGTTGATATGATGACCGGTCATGTCAGGTGATGACCTTGTACTGAATCTGGGATAATGACATGAAAAATCACTTGTTTAAGTATCATACCTCATATTTCTTTAAAAAAAAATCACTTCTTTGAGTATTTTTATTTTAATTACCCCAACTAATTTCAACACCCCCGAACAGTGAAATTTTGATCGCGAACAGTAAAATTTTATTACATAATCTGTAAGATGAAACCTTGAAATTTACAGGAAAAATACTCCCACTGCTGGGAAAAATCTGTTAAGAAAGTATCAGTGCATTATGTAAAGCCTTCATTATAGCATTTTTTCAACAAATATAGAATTTACAGCTAAATGATTGCATCAAAGGCATAAACCTTTTTTTTTTCAATTTTACTAATAATAAGATATAATCTAAACCTATATGTTTAAAATTTTGGTAAAACTACGAAATCACAATTTGTGACAAAATTTCGAATTTGCTACTTAAATAAGTGATTTAATATGATTTTATAAATCACTTATTTCAGTAGTTCACCTGACTGTTTAGACAGGTTAAATCATGTAAGGCCACATGTGGAACAGGATTTTCTTACTCTTCCAGAGCACATGAGATCATCCCTGGTTTTGTATTGTTTACTCTTTTAGTTTTTAATGCTGTGTTTCGTGAACTGTTTGTCTATTCAGCATTTATGCCATGTTGGTGTCAGTTTGTTGTGGACTTTTGAGTTTAAATATCCTTTTGGTGTCTTTTGCCTCTTATTCACTGTATATGTGTTATATTCGGTCTGTTTGTTAATACATAAAAAATACACAATTGAGGACAGACAATATGTACAATTGCATTGTTATTCAATGTTCTGATTATTAACATATATTTATTGTATTTCACTTTGTATACTTGTCATAAAAGTCATCTCAATACCTTTGTGTTTATGACTTTTATTTGATGGTTTATCTTTGATAATTTTTGGGGCTCAATGCAATTTAGAGCTAGATGTATATATATTGTATAAATATAATAAAGAAGAAGATGTGGTAAGAATTGTAAGTGAGACACCTACATGAATTAACCAGTGACCAACATGACCACAGGACAAGGATGTAAACAACTGTAGGTCACTGTATATGTACCTACAAAAAAGTGCTTGTCTATTGTTAAAGTCTACAGGTTTTTCAGAGTAAATTTTGAGGTGTAAACACAGCCATTGTAGCCAAAAGCAGATGCAGATCCAGGATTTTGAAAAAGGGTGTGCCCACATGCCCCCAAACTAGACAAAACTAAAGTTCATCATTTATAGAGGCAATATTAAGAAAGGATTTTGTTATAAGTGCCTTTCCAAGAACATCATAAGGTGGTCCCAATATCCTCTTCAATACATAACAAATTTGTCAAAACACACTCATTGAGTGTCACTCAAGATCATAGGTGCCTACATGTACATGTAACTGCAAAAACAAATTCCAGTTCATGTCTTTGTTTTTACTCACTCCAAGCTGGCTAGATTACTTTACAAAATTGTAATTTTCATTAATAAACAACCAAAGATAATTAAAACAATAATAAAGTGAGATCAAAAACAAAATAATTATACCTAAATTAGAGTCAGCTAAATTACAATTAAGTCATTAAAATTAATTCTTAATAACAACAAATATAACAACAAACAATTCTCGAAAAATGTGACCTAGGATGCAGTCCGGTAAATCAGCCCACATTAGGCTTTGACTGTATGTATTTCTGCTTAATTATAAACAAATTGTATCAAATTTAACATAAATCGATTCACTGGCAAATCAATTTTGAGTAGTTTATCCCATTTCCCGAAAATGTCTGAAATAAATTTTAAAGTCAACAAAACAAGTGGGTTAACTGTTTTTATCGGAAATGTGTTTGTCTGGTAAATTTGCCCATGGGCAGTAAATATGTATGGAGGGCCAGTTAATCATATTTATGAAAGGAAAAGGTGATCTATTAATAGACCATTTATAAAGGGATTCCAGACAATCGAAAAAAAAATAAATTTCAAGGCAGAAACGAGTTTTGTAAGCAATAATAGATTATCGTTAGCTTTAGGAACTGTATTATATTTATCACTAGATATTTTAGCAATAAAGGATTTTTCTTTAACATTTGACATGCAGTAAAGTCTAAAGATAAGTACAGTTCCTATGAATAAAACAGCAGACGAAATATTCACAGAAGTGACAATTATGGAAGTAAATGGGAGTGGGCGGGTTTACCGGACGGAAGGAATTACCGAACACTACTCATATAAATACAGTAGTTAGGTATGAGTCCTAGTTGAAAATTTTACATGTTTTATTCTTGAAATCTGGGACTATTATAATGTTAGTATAAAAGTCCTAGTTGAAATTAATTTGAATCTACATTTTGTAACTTGTAAACAATATCTCTCAAAAAACTTTTTGGATAAAACCTCCTTTACACCTCAAATTGGTGTATCTCATTACATGTCAAATGGTGGATTATACCTGAATTGAGGTATAATCAACCAATTAATGCCAATAATGGTTATCCCGGATCCTGACCTGCTGAAAGACACCATTTTATATTACAGAGAAAAAAAGGCCAAAAAATGTGTGTGCATGTCCACATTATCATATTTCTTACATTATTTCTATATAACGTCGTACTCAAACTTGCGTGTTCCTGGAAACTTTGTGAACATCTACAGTTACTTGCTTGAATTTTTCAAAACATATATACTGATTCCTGCAGAGAGAAACTCGAACAGTAAACCAGTTCTATTGTAAAATTATAGCCGAAGTCGACGTGCGCAGGAGCACTTTCCGTGTGGAAATAATATTAAGATCTATGGTGGTCGGATTTCGCGTTTCGCCTTTTCGCCATTCATATTCTATAGGGCAAAAACGCAATGTAAATAATATTTGCACTACAAGTCCTTATGTAACATAAGATAATGTTCCCCATGAAAAATTGTCTGTGGGATAAAATTTCATTTAATATTGTCCGCGGACAATATTTCATTGTAAAAAAAGTGCCCATGCCAATGAATTTTTGTCACCTTCTTCTAGACAATATTTCACTATGAAATAGTCCATGACATATTTCACTGTGAAATACTGTCATGCCATGAAAATATTCCTTAAATATATCATGGCTTCCCATGCTGGAGAACTTGAGGGGCCTCGGCGGTCGAGTGGTCTAAGTAGTTACTACTGTAATCAATAGCCAGTCAACACTGAGGTTGTGAGTTTGAACCCCGCTTGTGCGGGTGCACTCGACTCCAATCTTAATTGACTAGGATTGTCAGTTTTCCTATCGAAGGTCGGTGGTTTTCTCCGGGCACTCCGGCTTCCGACTCCATCAATAAAAACTGGCCCTCACGAAATAGCCCAAAAGCGGTGCTTAAAAGTGGCGTTAAAACACCAAAAATCAAATCAAATCAAATCTTCCCTGGAGAATCCTCTGCCATAAAATTGTGAGCATTTCTAGATTTTTTTTATACAAATATTTTTCATGTATGTGTTTATAAACTGTAAATTTCTGTATAAATTAATTATGCATGTTTGTTTGTTATTATCAATCAAATAAAACACTTTAATGATATCATTGTACAAAATATTAAAAATTTATAACCTCCCTTTCATGAGACAAAATTTCATGACAATCCATCTATTAAATATTGTCTCAATATACACAGTATATAACCTTGGATAACCTCTCTTTAACAAGACATCATCTATGAAATAATGTATGTATATGGACAAAATTTCATATGGAAATTTGTCCTTCTCTGGACATTAGTTCATAGATGGGGACAAAATTTCATGATACAGTCATGAAATATTGTCTTGAGCGACAATATTTCATAGGACTGTCCTAAGAGGGGGCCGGTCCAGTCATGCTTCAGTGATTCCCTATATAATCAATCAAATTTTTTCCTAAAAGGGGCCCCCTGGATCCGCCTATGCTACCCGTTATACCAAATATTTTTCATACGTAAGTACTCGTTGTAACAATTAATAGTAATTGAAAGAATACTATCTAGTCAGGTTGTCTTAAAATGTTAATCACCAATCAGATCAATTATACAAGATGATTGACAAACACGAAATTGCGAAATCGAGAAATCGCGAAAACGCGAATATGCAAAAAGGCGAAAACGTGATGGCGAAAATGCGAATTCGAAACGTAAAAACGAGAAGTTAAATCATTTCGCATTTTTGCTTTTTCGCGTTTTCGACTCGAGTTTACACCCTCTTTATCCAACTCACTCTCTTCATCTTTTAGTATAGTAGTGGTACATGTAGCTAAGTTGTCCACAGTTTGGTCTTTTTCAGATATTGGCGACTGGACAACAATATCTTGTCGTACTATTAAAAGGCCTGTTTCTATTATGTTTCTTATGATTCTGCTCATGTTTCTGTTTGCTCAGTATATGTTGCCTTTGTCGAAAAGGTTGCCGACTAGATAGTCCGAGATTACTCTGACGTCCAACGGCTGTTTTGCCAGACAAGCTGGGGCCACGGCGTCAGAGTAATCTCGGACTACTGACTAGACAATCGCTGATTTTGGTTGATTACGGTCTGATTTGCTTGCTGATGACTATTTTGTTGACTTTATAACTCATGGTTGGACTCCAAATGAAAGGAGGCTTATACGTAGCATACATACAGTGACTTACTCTGTCTGCGAGTTTTGGTTCTTAGCATTTTGTATGAGTTTCATAAAATTTGGATGAGTAAAATTAAAGTTAGACTGCGCTGAGACTACCATAACACATAGTAGTCTCAGAGTACAGCAAAAATGCAATTTTCCAAGTTATAAAGGGGCATAACTCTAGAACGGTAAGTGACTCACTGCCCAAATTCGAACTCTGTCTGCAAGTTTTGGTTCTTAGCATTGTGTATGAGTTTCATAAAATTTGGATTGGAAAACTTGAGTTAGAGTGCGGAATCACAAAAGGGACGGACGGTCAAAGGTAACACTTAATGCACCTATTGCCTACGGCTGGGCATAAAAAATGACACGAACCATCTTAATTAAAAATCTGTTTACTCAATTAGTCAAATTTAAATGGCGTTTAGCTGGGTGTTGCTGAACCAGTTTTGTTGTGAAAATTTTAAAGAGAATGACATTTAATACAGGGAAGATGCATACTTATGTCCCTGCAATTTCAAGTGACTAATCACATTTTTAACACTTTTAAAGAAATACTTTTAGAAACTTCTTCACATTAGTCAAACCTTGTTGACACAGTTAGCTATCAAGGATCAAAAGGGACATTTTTGTACGTACTCAGTCTCATTGTCCTTTTGTTACTTTTTTTTGTGCGTTTCATTCCAATCAGACATTTTTCACCGTTTTATAATTGAATTTAACAATGTTTCTTATGTTGCGCATTTACAGTATTGTCCAAGACTAGTAAGGTTGAGCGCTTGTAGGCATATTTACCCCTTCCCCACAGCACACATTCTTTAAGTGCCTGTGATTCAGTGGTAGTCGTTGGTTTCTGTCTGTCATAATTATTTTTTAGTTTATTGTTTTTAGCCTTAGGCATAGGTATTCTCATTTTATTTGTTATAAACATTTGTTCATGCTGTTGTCTTTTATAGCTTGCTATAGAGTATGGGGTTTGCTCATTGTTGAAGATTGTATGATGGCCAATTGTATAGCTTACATCTACGTCATTTTGGTATTTGGTGTTTAGTTGTCTCATTTGCAATTATATCGTATAAACTTTATCGCAAAAAGTAAAATCCTGGCGGGTTAAAATGCAAACATAATGGACATGTACACAAGAAACATACTATACTTGAAAAAAGTTCTAAACAAGTCAAGTTAATATTAATAATATATATATAGGTATATAGATAATTGACCAATGTTGACCTTATTTTCGCAACTCCATGGATTGCTTTATATAGCCCACAACACTAGACAAAATACCTTTATTGGGATTTAAAATAGTTTTAAGTTTTAAGTTTGAGTCAAGCTGGTTAAAATTAGGATAAAGGGTTTTAATTGCATTTATAAGGGGATTTTTAAAATTACTGCTGATTTGGCAAGGAAGGAAAAAGTGTTCCTCATCATTTAAATTTTACAAACTTTACACACTCTATGTTCTCTTTGAATTTTCTTATTTCAACCTATAGATAGATAGATATATTTTATTTAAAGTGCATCCTGATACAATATACATAATATAACACCACAATTACAATTCAAGTGACATCTGCAATTGTATATTATATCAGCCAGCCTTTAGAGGCTTATGAAACACTAACAATATTTATACAATAGATATAGGAAGATGTGGTATGAGTGCCAATGAGACAACTCTCTATCCAAGTATCAATTTATAAAAGTAAACCATTATAGGTCAAGGTACGGCCTTCAACACGGAGCATTGGCTCACAGCGAACAGCAAGCTATAAAGGGCCCCAAAAATTCCTAGTGTAAAACCATTCAAACGGGAAAACCAACGGTCTAATCTATATAAAAACGAGAAACGAGAAACACATATGAACTACATAAACAGACGACAACTACTGTACATCAGAATCCTGACTTAGGACAGGTGCAAACATTTGCAGCGGGATTAAACGTTTTAATGGTACCAAACCTTCTCCCTTTTCTGAAACAATAGTATAACATCACAACATAGAAAGACACACTATAAAATATCAATTGGATGGCTTAACTCAATCAAAAAACGTAAATTAACACACAACTAACGAATAAATTTGATCTGTGATACCTGAATGCAAATACATAGTTAATAAAAATTATAAGGGATAAATAATTAAGGTCAAAAGTAAATAAAAGTATGATACCACTGTGAAATGTTAAACATTTTTTAGAAAATCATCACTTTTGAAAAAACCTGCGTCATATTATACACAGGTAAATGAAAATAATTTTGTTGTTAAGTATACTTCTTCTTCTGTGTGTATAAAATCTTCCGTTTAGGAATACCAAGAAATTTCTTTAATATCAATAAAGCTAATCTAACACTTGATACATATGGGGTGAATATCAACAATAAAACTATACAATTAGTGCTAGATAAAACTTCCTGTACATGTGCAAGAACAGTATTTAAGGAGAAATGAAATAATTTTGATGGTCATAGTACGAAGAAGTGAAAATTTGTAGTAATTCAAAATAATCAAAGCTGGTATATAGACAAGATCCATGTTAACATTAAATAACAAAAAAACATTACAAATAGTATCAACAGGTCAAATTAACAAGAAAGTACGATTTTAGAGTACTCGCAGTTACTGACAGCTAGTTAAAATCCAAAACAATTAATAATAAAAAATCATGCATCAGAGACTGAAATCAACTAAAACACAACCCAGGGATTTAGTATTTTAACGTCATGAACAGTCAAAGAAGACATGACTTGTGCAATGCCAAAAATAAATGTATCGACAGGTAGTAGGATAGTTAGGAGTGACTTCTTTATAGATAAAAATGAACGTGTGTGTGTCTCTATACATCCCGTTTGAAAAGAAAATACAAATTTAGTTATGTTTTAATTCGCTAATGACATAATCGATATTAGTGCCAATGGTAATTATATTCAGAGATCTAATTACAACATTGGTACGATAACCCTTACTAATAAGTTTGTTTAAAGGTTCGATGAGTTTACACGGATCACATAGTGATTTCCGCGCTTTAAGTACAATATTACCGTAAAATTTAGGATGTGAAATACCATTTTTAATAAGTTTTCTACAGATACAGCCAAATTTACCAATCAAATC